CAGAGACCCAGAGAGAGGGGGACAGAGACCCAGAGAGAGGGGGACAGAGACCCAGAGAGAGGGGGACAGAGACCCAGAGAGAGGGGGACAGAGACCCAGAGAGAGGAGGACAGAGACCCAGAGAGAGGAGGACAGAGACCCAGAGAGAGAGAGGAGGACAGAGACCCAGAGAGAGGGGGACAGAGACCCAGAAAGAGGGGGACAGACCCAGAGAGAGAGGGACAGAGACCCAGAGAGAGAGAGGAGGACAGAGACCCAGAGAGAGAGAGGGGGACAGAGACCGAGACTCACTTTAGACAAGTTACTTACAGCTCTTTGAGTCTAACTTTTCTCCTCAAATAAGAAGACAATAAAAACCCAGTCTCCTTCATGAATTTATGAAGTCAATGAAATAAGCAGCCCCATCTGTCAGTTTGTGATGACTTGTGTGTCTTAGATGCTGGAAGTTATACCACAGATATTCCAAAGACAACCCAATAGGGTCAAACCTACTGTGGGCAGGTTCAATGAAGCTTCCAGGCTAAGACAGGCTAAGAAGAAAGACCTGGTTATCTATTTCTAAAAATTAGCCAATGAAAATAATATAGATGACAACAGAACATTGGAGCTGGAAGATGAGCTCTTAGGTTGGAAGACACTCAAAATACACAGTGGCCACGACAATGAACCATGGATGGTTCAGGGCCCCGTAATTACAAGTCAGAACAGACTCTACACAATTAACAACCAAACCGAACCAAACCCACTGCCATTCTGGGGATTTCACCTCAGAGTGGTCCTCTGGGACAGAGTCGAACTGCCCCTTAGGGGTTCCAAGGTTATAACTCTTTACAGAAGCAGATTGTATCATTTTTCACCCACAGAGAGCCTAGTGGGTTTGAACCACTGACCTTTTTGGTTAGCAGTCCAACAATCAATCCACTGGGCCATTAGGGCTCCAGGGCTTGCTTTTGTCAACTTAATAATAATGAAACAACACAATGTTGCCTAAAATAAGGACTGCATACCAGTTCCAGGCTGAGAGCCAACTCTACGTGAACTTCAGAGCCTCAAATAACCCTGACTTACACAATGAAATCACATTCCTTTCTCAGTTCTCCTGATCATGGCAAGGAAATACACTCCTCCAAATGCTGTCTGTAATTAACAGAGAAAAGCAGGTTTTACACTCAGAAACTGGATTAGGCAATAAACATCTTTATTTGATTTTCATTGCCTCTGTCTTCTATGATTTGTTTCTTTCAGTTGTGGCGATTGAAACAAATTTTCCACTTACACTGAGTCTGTAAAACTTTCTCCTCTAAATAACTGTACAAATATCCCTTGCTCTCTAGGGTCAACACCTCAGTTTCAAAGAGCCACTAGTAAGGGCTTGGGGCAGGAGGGGTTCATTTGAAAATTTCATCAAAATATCTTTGGTCCCTGATTCCAGAAAGGATTTGGACAGTGGGGAACGCCAGCATTTATGTAAACAGAAGTGAGCCGATTTAAGAAGGAATTTTATGCAAATAAAATTGCATAAATTGATCGGCGTCCTGGTGTGGTGCTGTAGTATAAGCACTGGACTGCTAACTGCAAGGTTGGCGGTTCAAACCCACCAGCTGCTTCTCAGAAACCCTATACAGGGTCACTATGAGTTGGAACCAACTTGAAGCACTTTATAGTAACAACAATGGCGTTCTGGTGGTGCAGTGGGTTAAGCATTGGACTGCTAACCGAAATGTTATGGTGGTTCGAACCTACCAGTCTATCCAAGAAAGATGGGACAGTCTGCTTCCTCAGAAACCCTATGGGGCAATTCTACTGTCCTACACACAGTCCACAGTCGCTAAGCTTCTGAATCAACTAGATGGCATTGGGGTTTGTTTTCGTTTTTATGCAAATAATGCTGTTGTTAAGTCAATTCCGTCTCATAGTGATCCTATGCAGGGTTTCCAAGGAGCAGTTGGTGAGTTTTAACTGTCAACCTTGTGGTTCAAACCAACTCTGCAGTCCAGAGCTTATCTGATAGCACTACATCTGGACTCCTTATGCAAATAATTGTTGTTGGTAAGTGCCCGTTGAGTCGATTCCAACCCATAGCGACCCCTGTATAGGGTTTCCAAGGAGCAGCTGGTGAGCTTGAACCACCAGCCTTGCAGTTCAAACAACTTTGCAGTCTGACTCATTAGCCTACAGCGCCACACCAGGACCCCTATGCAAATAATAGTACAGGTAATTTGGTCATTATTTTCTTCACCACTTTTGCCAAATCTATGTATAATACAGGTGGCACCTGGATTTGGCAGCAAATATGATGAAAACAATAAAAGAATGACTTAAACACCACACACGTGTTTTTGTTGTTACTTGCCATGGAATCTATTTGACTCATGGAGATCCCATGTGTGCAGAGCAGAACTGCTCCACAGGGTTTTCAAAGTTAGACTCTTTCAGAAGTTATCACCTGGTCTGTCTCTGAGGTACCTCTAGGTGGGTTTGAACCACCAAACTTTTGGCTAGCACTTAGCCATTTGTGCCACGCAAGGATTCCTGATACAGTATAACCACTGCCACCGAGTCAACTGCGACTCACAGCAATCCGCTCCATTGGGTTTCCTAGGCTGCACATCTTTACAAGTGGTTGGTGGTTTTGAACTACCAACCTTGTGGTTAGCAGCCCAACTTCACCACCAGACATCCAATACACACATGTGCCATCACGTTGGTTCTGACTCATAGAGACCCTGTGTGAGGTTTCCAAGGAGTGGCTGGTGGGTTTGAATCACCAATCTTTGGGTTAGCAGACCAGTGCTTATCCTACAGCGCCTCACCAGGAGTCCTGATACACACAGGATGAACCAAATACAATCTCTCCCATTCCTGGTAGAGAAAGAAAACAAATTACATCCCTCCTTCATGAGTTTAACTCCAGAGCCCTAGTATGCCTCAGTTTATCCTTTCTTACATCTCAATCCCACACCAAACCCTTTCATTCCCTTCCTACTACTTCCTACCAGCCCTTCCCCATAAAACTTCTTCAGAGAACAGAGGTATGGTCTAGAGTCAAGCTATCCAGTGGGCGCTCGTAGTCACATGGGAGGAACCTACGTGACACAGTGGTTAAGTGCTTGGCTGCTAACTCAAAGGTCAGCAGTTCAAACCCACCAGTTGCTCTACAGGAGAAAGATGACGCAGTCTAATTCCATAAAGATTTATGGCCTTGGAAACTCTGTGAGGCAGTTCTATTCTGTCTTTTAAGATTGCTATGAGTCGAAATCCACTCGATGACAATGGGTTTAGCCACATGGGGGTGCCCGTCCCTGGGTGGCACAAATGATTAAGCATTGGACCACTAGTCAAAAGGTTGGCAGTTCAAATCCATCAGCAACTCAGCTAGAGACTGCACTCAGCAAACTGTTCCCATAAAGATTACACAGTCTAGTGTAAGGTATCAGAGTCCACAAACACAATGGTCTATATCCTATTTTTGTGAGTAGTGACTGGGATCTTTAAAGCTCATGAGCAGCCATCTAAAATGCAACTGCCGGTCTCTCTGTGTGCAGGGAACAGAAGAGTGATGGAAACTGAAGACTTGGAATCAGTTAGTCCAATGGACGAAGGGAACGTGTGCCCCTGAGATGCTGAGACCAGACTCCATGACTCTGAGACCGGAAGAATTAGATATTGCCTGGCTTCCATTACCAACTGTTCTGAAAGGGATCCCATTAGAAGGTACTAGATAGAGTGGGGAAAACATGAAACAAAACTCAAAATTATGGGGGAAAAAAGGTGGGGCTTACTAGTCAGAAAGAGACTGGAGGGTGACAGTCCAAATCCACCTCAGAAAATACACCTGGCTTCTGGAAGGTCTTAGCCTTAAAAACCCCCGTGAAGCAGTTCTACTCAATACATGGGGGCGCCACAAGTCCGAATCAACAGGATGGCAAGTAACCGCTACATGGAGCTGTTCATATTAAAATTAATTCACAATCAAGAAAAAAAAAATTCAGTTCCTCAGTTGCACTGGTCACATTCCAAGCACTCAGTAGTCACATGCGGCCAACGCAAAGCAAACCTACTGCCACCAAGTCACTTCAGACTCCTAGCAACCCTAGGGGACAGTAGAACTGCCATTCTTACGGCAGCAGACTGCTTCATCTTTCTCCCAACTATTGGCTTCTGGGTTCAAACCACTGACCTTTCAGTTAGCAATCCAATGCTTAATCCACTGCACCACCAGGACCAACAGCTACCATTTTGGACAGCACACGTAGAGAAGAATTCTACCTCTTACCTGCCCCAGTGAAAACCGAAACTGCAATTGCTCAAGGTAAGATTGTCAGTTACCTCCATGCCCCCAAATACAATGGTCTCCATTGAGGTGTCATCTGACTTGGACACATGGACACAGCCGCCCACACAGGTTCTGGAAAGCCTTTTCATTTGCCAGGCTCACCCCTTCCACCGGCTGTCTTCCTTTCATGCTATGCTCTGTCCCTGGTTCATCATTTGTGTTTTTGTCTTCTACACCTCCCTTGTTCATAGGTGTTTCCCAGAGCGATTACCACAATAGCTTTCCTACAGAGATCATGTTCCCAAAGACCTGGCAGATAACTTAATGAAAAGAAAAATCAGGGGAAAAAAAAAAAAAGAAAGAAAGATCAGGCAGAAAAGGCAAGTATTTGCTGGAGGCTGTGGTGATTCAAATATGCCCATTTGTCATACACCAAAACTAAACTGACTGCCATCAAGCTGATTCGGACTCAGAGGGGCCCCATATGACAGACTAAGACTGCCCAAGAGTGTTTCTGAAACTGTAAGCATTATGTTTCATTATGAAAGCAGACCACCACATCTTTATCCCACAGAGCAACTGGTGGGTAAGGTATTAAAAAAAATAAATGCTTTCAGGCAAAAAAAAAAAAAGAAAGAAAGAAAATGGTTGTAGAACTATCCATTTGCCAACTTCCTGACTCCACACATTTTCTCGGGGACCTATCACCCACTCCCAGGCTTCCATTACTATCTCCAGCTAAAAAACAACCGACAAGCCATGCCCTTTGAGTCAATTCTGACTCATGGCAACCCAAAGTGTGTCAGAATAGAGCCATGTGCTCTAGGTTTGTCAGTGCTGTGGGTCTATGGAGGCAGATCATACCAGACCTTTCTACTGCAGTGTCATTAGGTGGATTCAAACCACCAACCTTTCAGTTAACAACCGCACAAGTTAACCATTTGCAGCACCCAGGGATTCCCCATCTCCAGCAGGAGCTTCTCCAAATCCTGGATCCCAGACTTCTCCTTGCATCTCAGACCCAGATCTCCCCACATTCCTGGATCCCCTCAGATCCCTTCACACACATCCCACACTATGCTCCACAATTCTCCAGCCTGCTCCTTCTCCTAGGCTCCCCATCTTTGGGTTGGGGACCCCACAATCTCCCCAGTCACAAGACCAGATATCCAGAAGCCGTCCTTATCCCCCTCCCCTCTGACTTCCCATACTTATCAGTCCCCAGTTCAACCCTCCTACCCCCTCCACTGTCCTGACTCCTTCTCTCTGTCCCCACAGTCCTGACCTGGCTCTGGCTTCTTCCCCTCCTACCTGGACCTTGGCCTCAGCCTCCTCACTGACCTTTCAAACTCATTCATCCTGACACTGTCCCAGAGTGTCCTCCCACACCTAGAGCTTACCCTGCACCACCCATGGTTCCCCAGCACCCTGAGAAAGGTCCCAGCCCCTCAGGGCGGCATTCAAGACTCTGTATGGTGTCGCCCCATCCTCCCTGCAGCCTTCTTTCTCGGCAATGCTCCTTGAACCTTGGATCCTCTTTCAAACCTCACCACACTGTGATTTAGGGAACTTTTCACATGCTATCCCTATTTACGGGATTACTTTCCACTTCTCCCCTTCAAATGCCAAATGCAAAGTAATCTTTCAGATAGCATCTTGCTGTCCTCTCCTTTTCCAAAAACCACTTGTGACACCTGACTCCCTTCCCGTCTTAGCCGGATCCCTCCTCTGAGCTGCCATCTCCTCTTCCATGCCTAATGATCACACATGTATCTGTCTCCTCAGGCCAGGCCAGAGTGCATCTCTGACTACATCTCTCCCATCTGTCAAAAGTGTCAAGCACTCGTTCCCAATAGGCAGTCTGGTGGCTTAATTGTTAACCGCTCAACTTCTAACCAAAAAGTTTGGTGGTTCAAATTCACCCTGCAACTCCAAACTGTTGATCTGCTCTTATAAAGATTACAAACTAGAAGACCCAGGGGGCAGCTCGATTCCGTCACTTTAGGATTTGGAATCAACACGGTGACACACAACACTACCGACCATAAATGAATATGTTTATTCATACATAATTTTCAAGTCATACGGCAGCAGGAGTCCCTGGTGGCGTGAACAGTTAAGCGCTCACTTAGCTGCTAGCAGAAAAGTTGGAGGTCCCAGTTCACCCAGAGGTGACTCGTAAGAAAGACCTGGCTATCTAACTCACTGCTGTTGAGTGAATTCCAACTCATAGCGACCCCATAGGACAGAGGCTGGGAAATCTTTACAGACACAGACTGCAACATCTTTCTCCCACAGAGTGGCTGGCAATGGGGTGTGAACCACCAATGTTTCAGGTAACAGACCAGCACTTAACCCACCGCACCACCAGGGCTCCCCCTATTAATCCACCTCCAAACAACTCAGCCATGGAAAGCCCGATGGCACAGTTCTCCTCAGACACACTTGGGGTTTCCATGAGTCAGAATCAAGTTAACAAACACTGGTTTGACTGGTTTATTGCACTTTTATACCACGGAAGGATGAGGCTGTCTGCACTTGCAAACCGTGGGGAGCCTGGAAGACATGTAGATTTACAGCCTCAGAAATCATAAGGATCAGTTCGACTCTGCCCTATAACATCACTGAGTCAGAATCAACTTGATAACAGTGGGTGGACACGGATAGAATATGTTCATGATAAAATACTCTCTAAGTTAGGAATGGAGTCCTGGTGCCGTGCTGTGGGTGAATGTGCCAGCTGCAAAGCCGTTTGAACTGCAAGGTCAGCGGTTCAAGCTCACCAGCTGCTCCTCGGAAATCCTATACAGGGTTGCTAGAACAGACTCGACGGCACTTAACAACAACAACAAAGTTAGGACTAGGAGTCTGTAGGTGGCGCAAACAGTTAGGCACTCAACTATTAGCTAAGAGGTTGTCGGTTCGATCCCACCCAGAGGCAACTTGAAGGAACAGCCTGGTGATCCACTTTCAAAGGGTTGCAGCCTTGCAAATGGCAAATAATTACAAGAAGTTAGGAATGTTGACATTTTTCCCACACCAGAAAGCCAGAACCCCCTTTAGAGACCTTTAGCAAACACAGGGACTTCCTCAAGGGCAGCAGACACCCTGCCTAGCGTCTCGTGTCCCTGACCCCAGCAAGCATCTGTACATAGTTAAAAACAACAACAACAAAAACTTTTGAATAGGAACTGCTTCTATTTCCCAGAGCTTATTAGGTACCCTAGGAACCCTGGTGGTGTCACGGTGAAAACAATTGACTGCTAACCAAGAAGTCGACAAGTCAAACACACCAGTCAGTCCGCTTCCATAAAGATTAACCAAACTAAAAACCCACGGTCGTGGAGCTGATTCTGACTCATAGAGACACTATGTAGGGCTTCCAAAATTGTGAACCTTTATGGAAGCAGCCAGCCTCATCTTTCTCCTGTGGAGTGACTGGTGGGTTTGAACTGCCAACCTTGCAGTTAACAGGCCAATGTCTAATCCACAGTGCCACAGGGGCTCCCTTCCATAAAGACTGTCTAGCCGATTCCGACTCATAGAGGCCCTGTATAGGGTTTCCAAGGAGCAGCTGGTGAGTTTAAATTGTCCACCTTGTGGTTAGCAGTCCAATACTTATCCTACAGCGCCACACCAAGACTTAATAAAGAGTATAACCTTGGGATAGCTCTACTCTGTCCTATAGGGTTGAGAGGCCGTGGTGGATTTGGTTTGGCAGTGGGTACCCAGCATTGTCCCAGAAACTTTACACACATCCTTGTTGTTGTTGTTAAGTGCCATCGAGTCGGTTCCAACTCATAATGATTCTATATAGAATTTCTGAGGAGTGGCTGGTAAGCTTGAACCACCTACCTTGCAATCCAGAGCATTAATCCACAATGCCATACCATTAGGTTAATTTTTACAAAACCCCAAACTATAGGACCTGTTTTTATGCCAAGACAACAGATGAGGCACAGAGAGGTGAAGTGATTCACCCAAAACCACACAGGGTGAACCTTGGCAGCACCCACGCTCCTGAAATTTATGCCTTCCTCCCTTAGAATGCCTAATGAAAGTTTCTTGACAACATAAAGGAATGAATGAAGCAGAGACAGACAAAAAAATAAAGTGATACAATGATACAGACACACACACACACACCAGAAGAGACACAAGGGTGTTTGGGCTTTTACACTGACCCTGAGCTAACAATTCGGGAATGGGGATGTCTGCACAGCCCCAAAGGAGCCCTGGCGACGCTGATTAAGCGTTGGTATTTAAACGCTACACTGCTAACAGAAAAGTCACTCAGAACCTACTAGCTGCTCCGCTGGCTAAAGACATGGCGATTTGCTTCTGTAAACCCCTGGGAACTGATCTACTCTGTCCCATAGAGTCGCTAGAAGTCGGAATCAACTAGAGGGCTACGGTTTACACAAACCCAAACCCACAGGGAGTGCCCTTTGGGAGTGTCCGCAGTGACAAGAATGGGGGGGGAGGGTGGGGTCGACTGTGGGCGGACCCAGCGGGCCCGGATAGCTCCCGAGTCTACCGCTGAGGACGAACCCCTCACCCCGTATCTGAGAGGTCAGCGATGAACGTGGTGCAGGTCTTCTTCTTGAAGATCTTCGGAATCCAGCTCTGGGAATGGGAATAGGGGACGGAAGGAGGGGGGCCCAGTTCAGTCCTCTTGGAATACGAGGTCACCCACTCCGCATCCCACTCAAGGATCCCAGCGATCTCCTTCCCAGATTCAGGAGGCTCGGCCCCAGAGCCCTCCTACCCGCTCTTCCCCAAGGACCCAAGAAACCAGAGGGCTCCACTCCCCTCCTCCGTCAGACCCAGGAATACGGGTCTCCAGCGCTCTCTTCTCCCGGGATCAAGAGACGGGGCCCCAGCTCCGTCAGACCCGAGAGTCCCGCCGCTGTACCTGCTCCTTCTCGGGAACCACCATGCTGCAGCAACTGCCGAAACTGAACAGCCCAGCCGGCTCCCCACATCCCTCCCAACAACCCCCTTTCCAGACCCGCCCAGGGAAAACCGGATCCACCACTTTCAGCCCAGCCTGGGGCGGGGCGAGGTCTCGGGGGCGGGGAGACTGGGAGATGCGTAAGCAGAAGGCGGAGAAAAGGGTGGGTCTAAGACTGCGATAGCAACACAGAGAAAGGAGGAGGCCCAGAGAGAGGGGGACAGAGATCCAGAGAGAGAAAGGGAGAAACCCGGGATGGGGGGGAACAGAGACACCGCCGAGGGGGGGGGCGGACAGACACCGGAGAGAGAGAAAGGGAGAAACCCGGGATGGGGGGAACAGAGACACGGGGGGGGGGGGAGGGGGGGAAGAGACAGAGACCGGAGAGAACGGGGGACAGGGACTAAGAGACAGAGACCCGGAGAGACAGGGACAGCGACCCTGAGAGAGGTGGGAACAAAGAACCAGAGAGCGTTGGGGGGTACAGAGACCCAGAAAGAGTTGGGGGGGCAGAGACCCAGAGAAAAAGGGACAGAGAACCAGAAAGATGGGGACACTACTGTGGGGGGGGGGGCACACTGACTCAGGGAAGAAAACAAAGACTCAGGTAGGGGTCAGAGACTCAGAGTAGACCCGTTGTGGCATAGAGCAGGAGACCCATAGAGGGGTGGAGCCCCAAAGTGGGAGGGCAATAGTGACAGATAGGAGAGGAGATCCTGATACTCAGAGATAGGCAGGGCCACATGTCCCCAGCCAGGACAGCTGCTCTGTAACCTGAGCCTCCCGCCCAGTGCTGTATTTATAGTCCTGGGCTGGCTGGCTCACCTGCCCCCTGATCTGAGTTCCAGGGAGAAGAAATCATTGCGATATGTTGGGGGCAGGGCTCCTTTTTGCCCCCTTCCAGGGTCTTCCATATCGACCTTCTCTCACCAAAGCATCCCATTCTAACTGGAAGCGTCCTATACCCCTACACCCAGCCCTTCCATTTGCAGGTGTCCCTCCCCTCAGGTATGTCCCTCCTGCCCTCTGATGTGCCCCAGGTTCCCGCACCTTGGCCAACTTCATCTTTCCAGCTACTGAACAAAAGCTTGTTGGTAACTCATAGTCAAACCCCTTGGCTCCCCTCCCCTGGCCAAGGAGAGACCCTTCCACCACCACCACCCCCAGCTGGGAGGAGGAGCAGGAGGAAGGGACAGAGAGGACTGACCCAGAATAACTCAGGGCCTAGAGAGTAAATTTAGCCACAGAGAGGGGAGGGGAAAGACCCTATTGGCTGGGGAGTGGGGAGGGAGGGCCCGAGGGGGGTCAGGGGGTTCTGGAGACTTCATAGGGGTGTCCAGAGCTGGGCAGAGAAGGCCAGAAGAAGGCAGACAGAAAGAGACAGAACGAAAGAAAGACATAGAAAGAGAGACGGACCCTAAAGGAAAAACGAACCTTAACATTCTTCCAACAACCACAGGGACAACTGGAGCCAGAACTAGGAGAAAGTTTCCTGCCCATTCGTCCCCATGGGCCACCATGGGTCATGGCTGCACACTTCCCTCCTCTGGGTGGCTGTGGCTAGCCTGCTCCTCCCCCCAGCCATGACCCAGCAGCTGACAGGGGCTGGACTGGGTCCCAGCAACTGGAACAATGCAGGAGTCGCTGGGTCAGCTGAGGCTGGTCACCATGTCCACGGGCATGGAGTCCATCGAGATGGGAATCAGGATGTTTCCATAGAGGACAAGCATCATTTCCACAGCCAAGGAGATGAGGATGAAGATATCTCTAGTGAATATGGGCACCAAATCCACAGCCACAGGTATCAAGGCCACGAGGTCAGGGATGAGAATATCTCGGATGAGGACATCTTCACAGAACATGTTCAGCAGGTCCGTGGGGACAGAGGCCATGAGGATGCGGATGATTCTGCTGAGCATAGGTACCACGTGCCCAGTCATCAACGTGAGGATGAAGATGAGGTTGCCTTCAGTGAGCACCTCTCTCAGGTTCTCAGGCATGGTCATCATGGAGAAGAAGATGATGATGAAGAAGATGATAATGTCTCCAATGAATCTGGACACCAGGCCCACAGGCACCAAGGCCACAGGAATGAAGAGGAAGAAGATGCCTCAGATGAACACCACCACCAAGATTCTAGTCATAGGCATGGAGAGGATGATGATGATGTCTCCATGGATAATGAGTGCCAGGTCCATGGACACCAAAGTGAGAGCAATGAAGATGATGAAGATGTCTCAGATGAACACCGTCACCTTGTTGCCAGTCATAAACACCAAGACCACAGAGGAGAAGAAGATGATGATGATGAGTATGGGTACCAGGAGCACAGACACCAAGGTCATAGGAATGAAAATGATGAGGATATCTCAGATGAAGATCACCCTCAAATTGCCATCCATAAGCACCCAGGCAATGGAGAAGATAGTGATGAGTATGAACACATAGCCCATAGGCACAGAAGTCACAGAAATGAAGATGATGAGGATGTCTTAGATGAGCAGTATCACGTTGCCAGCTACAAGCACCAAGGACACAGAGATAAGGAAGATGAGGATGTGTCCACTGAACACTGGCATCAGGCTACCAGACATGATCCCCATGGAGATGAAGAGGAAAAGGGGATTGAAGTCAAGTTCGGCCACTATGTTCCAAGCCATCAAACTCAAGGTCACAAGAATGAAGAGGAGGAAGACTTCCCAGATGAGCATAAAAAAGCAGTCCTTGGTCATCCCTACCACATAGTCCCCAGGGAGGAAGATGAAGCCATCTCTGCCAAGCTTGATCATCAGGCTCCCAGCCACAGCCAACAAGACTATGGAGATGAAGGGACTGATCATGGCTACAGCAGGTCTATCAAAGAGGAGCTTAGCCACCAGACCCCAGAACACACAGGGGTCAAGGATACAAGCCACTTAACAAAGAGAGATTCTGAAGAGGACGAAGACAAGGAAGAAGACCATGGCTCCCACAAAGAAGATGATGAAGGTTCAGAGCAGGAAGAGGAAGGTGCTCCACATGGCAGCCTGGATCAGGAGGATGAGGAGGAAGGCCATGGCCTCAGCCTAAGCCAGGAGGAAGAGGAAGAAGAGGCAGTGGAAGCTGATGAGGAAGAAAGGAGGGAGAAGAAAGCTGAGGTTCAGGCTCCACTGGGCCAAGACGACCAGCAAGAGGATGAGGAGGGGCTGGAGGAAGATGAGCTTCCCTTCACCATCATTCCCAACCCACTGGCCAGTAGGGAGATGACTGGAGGTGCTTCCAGTGAAGAGGAGAGTGGTGAGGACACAGGTAAGCAGCCCGGCCAGGTGGGGGTGAGGAGTCAGGTCAGCGTGGGTCACTGGTGCCATCCTGTCCCCACAGGTCCACAAGATGCCCAGGAGTATGGGAACTATCAGCCAGGATCTCTATGTGGCTACTGCTCCTTCTGCAAGGTAGTCCCCAGCCCAGAACGACCCATTAAACTGTGCTTAGAATTTGTCCCAGGGGCCCTGGGGTGCCATGGGAGGGCTCTGAGTAAGGGAAGGACAGGGTCAGTTTTGGGTGAATAAAGACGCTTCCGGGGCCACACAGGAGGGCAGCAAGCTAAATTGGTGGTCAAGGTATGTTTGGGGCTATGAGGATTGAGAATCAGGGAGCAGGAGGATTAGACTGGGCACTGACAGGCTGTGAGAATCGGGGGAGGGTCGAGAAGCACAAGTTCAGTCCAGTGATTGGGGGAAGTGGGTCCTCCCAGTTAGGGAACCCAGAGAACAGGGGAGCAGGTTTGAGGGGAAGGCTCTGAGCTCAGTGTTGGAGGTGATGACCGTGAGGGGTGAGTGTCTGAGGAACTGTCCGGTGGGTAAGGGTGGGCTGATGGCTGTTACCCACATGAGGTGAGGGTTTCTGTCTAACAAGGCTCCTCCTGTCCCCAGCGATGCACTGAGTGTGAGAAATGTCACTGCGATGAGGAGAACATGGATGAGCACTGTGACCAGTGTCAGGTGAGATCACCCATCAAGGCTTCTGGGTTGCCAGAGACTATCTGAGGACCACCCCTCCACCCCCCACTCCCGTCCTAGATCGTCAACTTTGACCCAAAATTTACCTAAACCCATACTCCTAATACAGACATAATTCAGCCCCAATCCTAAATCTAATTCAGGCTCTGACCCTGCTCACTCTTTCCGCATTCCCCCAGCACTGCCAGTTTTGCTACCTCTGCCCTCTGGTCTGCGAAACTGTCTGCACTCCAGGTAAGTGTGGGCAGGGCCTAGGTTAAACCCCAGGATGGCGCCTTCCGCGCTCGCGGAGGGGCTGAGTTCGGAGGGGTGGAGCCTGGACTAAAAGAAAGTTGAAAATGGGTGGAGGGCGGAGAGACGGAGCCAAAGCAAGTAGAACTCGCAGGGGCGAGGCTACTGGAGAACTCTGCTGACCTGACCCTGACGTGAAGAAAGGGGCGGAGCTTTCAGAGGTTTCCCAGTTGGATTTTAGCCTGGGGGAGGAATTATTAAAAAGGTACGCAGCCGGCCCGGATCCTGGACCTAGTGAAAAGTGGCCCCCATATTTCGCCCACGGAATACTCCCCCTCAAGCCTCTTCTCTTCCACAGGAAGTTACGTGGACTATTTCTCCTCGTCCTTGTACCAGTAAGTACAAACTGGAGGGAGCTAGTTCAAGGGGTTTTTCTCACAAGGAAATGAGCCTGAATGCCCAGAAAGGCTCTGTCCCGCTATGCATTATTGCGTTCTGGAGCTGTATCTGTGAAATGGGCGGGTTAACGGTTTCTAAATGCCCTAAGTTAACTTTGGACTTATCTAACCTGTATCTCTCTCCAGAGCCCTGGCGGACATGCTGGAAACTCCGGAACACTGACCCTGCAGCGGGACAGTTGTACCTCCTCTATCCAACCTCTTTCCAGAGCCATATTTATTTCTCTGAATAAACGTGTTCCCCGAACGAAACCTGTCAGGCGTGGGACCTGCGTTCTCAAGGAATCAGGATGGGGACTGATGGGTCCTCAGAGGAACACTTGGGTTGGTTTCTTAATTGTTCTGCCAAATAAATCAGCCAACGGGGGAGGGGGCACTTTTTGAAACAGTTCTCTTTATCGTTGATCACTGAACGACGTCTGGAGCAAGGAGGCCGACCGAGGGTCGGGGTGAGGGCGCCCTCACCGTACTCCCTCCACACACGCCACGTTGTCCAGTAGCATCTTGGAAAGAGGATTCTCCCATGCAAACCCCGGAGCCGGAGGGGAACGAGGAACGCGGATCTGCGTCCCCTTCCCTCGGGGCAAGGACACGGCCACAGCACGGGGAGGGCGGAGGGGCCCCAGGGACACGAGACACGGGGAAGGGAGAGGGGACCCCGTCTGCAGCTGACCCAGGGATGCGGCGACCGGATGCGGTGAGACGGGGCCGAAAGGTAACTGGGAGCGAGGCTTGTAGCAGCGAGTCACCCCTCCCCTCCTTTCGGATGAAGAAGGAAGACTTGGGCCCCGCAACTAGGGAGGAAAAAGGGAAAGGGGCAGCCTCTCCTCGCATGCTGGTCGGGGAGGGAAGCCCCGCCCCCTTCCCGCAGGAAAAGGGCACCCGTCTCCCATTGGAAACTGATCAATAAATTACAAAGTAGAGAAAAGGGAGGCGGAAGTGTGCTTCGGAATTTCTTCCTGCCCTTTTCCTCCCCCGTCTCAGTCCAGTTCAGGTGGTTTAGTCCAGGCCCAGTCCATATGTGAGCCAGGGAAGCGCATTCCCCGCTGGTCTGTATAGATGGTCCAGTCCATGGAGCGTGTTCCCCCGCCCGCTCTCCCAGGCGAGACCATACTCTGAGTCGGAGGGGGAATAGTCCAACCTCTGGAAGATTCTTCCATCCGAGTGAGGTCACCTGCATTGATGCCAAGCAGTGCGTGAAGCAGTGAAAATCCATTATGCCATTATGCTGCCCCACGCACGCACCCGAGGCTGTCCGGTACAGTCCTCACCTGGAGGCCTACTCTAGCAGGAATAGGTCCTGACCGAGACACCGTCAGCCCGGGAACTCCCTGAAGTCTGGCCTGGAGGGAGAGCGAGCAAGCAGCGGTTCAGCCTGAAACACCTTCCCCCCAAGGACCTCCCCAGAGTTGCCTCTACACCATGAGTCACCCCTTGGATATCCCTAACAATGGGCCGCCCAAGTCCACATACACGTCAGTCCACACCAGTCTCCCTCCCTCCCCCGGATCCATGGATTTGTCCAAGGTGCACCGATTGCACACATTCCCCACCCTGGGAAGGGGGTGCGGGAAGTCTGGTATATTGGAGCAGTCCATTTGTCATGGGTGGAGGAGCAGGACTAGGCTTCTGGAATGTTGGGTTGATCTGTTTCCCACGGGGGGGGGGGGGGCCCTAAGGAAGAGGTAGAGGGGCTGACTTATTTGGGCATTTTCCCCACCTTCCGGCTGCAACTTGCGGAGAGGGAGCCCCGGCGAGCCCAAAGCCCCTGCTGCAGCTGAACGGAAGTTAGGGGGCAACATCTCAGCCGAATCGGGGGTTACTCCTCGGAGGTCCTTCTCTCGGAACATCTTCCGCCAAGATGGAGAGCGACTGAAGGACTTAGAGCTGTCCTAGATACAGGGTCCCAGCAGCCGGTGAGGGAACTGGACCTATTTCTAGCACTTCCCCTCAATTTGGTGCCGCCCCTTTCTGGGTCTCCCTTCCCCGTAACCACGCCCCCTTATCACTAAGCCCTGCCCCCTCTAGTCCCGCCCCCCAAAATAACTTGGCCAATCAAACCCCACTTCGATCCAGCCGTGGTCACGCCCACCTCATCCAGCCGCCTGTCTGTGCCCAAGGAGATGAGGTTACTGAATTCTTTCTCCAGGAGCTGCCGGGCCTGGAGAGCAGAGATGAGAGATGAGTTGGAGCACGCTGTCTGTAAGATGCGGATGCCCAGCATGCTCCGGTCGAGCGGCTGCTCACCTGTGCATTCTGCGTGGGGATTTGCAGGAGCAAGGCTAGATCGGAGTAGTCGAAGGTCTCATCCAGGGCAAGCAGTGCCCCGTGCACCCCGCTTTCCGTGAGGTTCGTGGCGAATTCCTTCAGGCCCAGCCCGGACACCCAACCCATGACCCGTTCATTAGACCACACCATCACATCTGGGAAGGAAAGAGACCCTCAGCCGTGCCCCTCCCATGGCCAGGTGGTATTTCGAGCCCCATCACTATTTTCTTAGTCACTTCCCCTCTGCTGACCCCACACTCAATTCGTAGTGTGGGATTCTCTGGCCTCCCTCTCCATCCCTAATATACCCCCACTTCTAACTCCACCCCAAACCCTTTTTCCAGGCTCCAAGTGGTGATACCCTTAAAGCGTCTGCTCACCTCGGATCTGGGTCTGACTCTCCTCTCGCCTCCGCTCCAGGTCCTTCCGGTCATAGTTGAGCCGTTTCAGGCACATGATCCCATAATGTAGACTCACCCTGAGCAGCAGGGGAAGTGGAGTCACAGAGGAGCCTTCACAACCCCACTGGCTGCCTCTCCTATTGGGCCCTCACGCATTGGCTGTGGTCTTCTGGGTGAGGTTGGGGGGTTCTTCCACTGGGTCTGTTCTATTGACTGTTGGCCCTCCCAGGAAGTGGGGCATTTGCAACAGACAGTTCCTTTTGGCTAACCTGGAGGGGGGGCGGGGTCAATTAGCCAAGTTCTCTCAGGATCTGAACTTGTCCTAATGGATCATCCTTATTGGTGTTACAAGCACAGGAGACAGGATTTTCTGAGAACCCATGCTAAAAGGGCCAAAGATAATCCAAGGAATCTCCCAACCATCATTTGGCTAAAGACTCTCTAGGGGTGGGGCTTCTCCCTGGGCTATTCCCACTGGCCAGGCAGTCCCCACCTGTGGAAGCTGTCCACCATCTTGAGTTGGCCACGGAGCTCCTTCTTGTTAAGGTGATCTAGCATGCGAGCATCCACCAGCGACTCCATGAAGTAGCTGCGGTACTGGGGTAGCCCCAGGCTGGGCAGCCAGTCGTTTCCCACCCACTCGTGGTTCATGTCGCCATATGCCAGGATCTGGGGCCATGGGCAGGTGAGGAAGGGGTCAGGCCCTCTGACTTCCTCCCATGTATGCTTGAAAGAGGTTCAGTCCAACCACCCCAACGCAAGGTTCTTTCCTACGCTATAGCAAGGCCATGGCCAATCTCTATGTGGTACAATGGGCCGATCCAGGGTTGTCTCCTGTTGTTAAGTGCTTTGGAGTCGTTTCCAACTCACAGGAAACCTCTATAGGGTTTCCAAGGAGTGGCTGGTGGATTTGAACCGCCAACCTTGTGGACAGCAGTCTAGTGCTTATCCTACAGCACCATCAAAGGATGGATTTTGAATCCACAATTTCAGTAACTGGTGAACTTGCTGGAATTTCAGAATCTCAGGGTTCTTCCCTGAACTACTGAATAAAAATCTGCCATTTCCACAAGATATCCAGGTAATTTCAATGGTACATGAAAATTTGAGAAACACTGGCATGGCACTGTTCCAACTCAAGGTGATGACCAGTCCAACATCGCTACTGTCCTGAGTCCGGACAAGATTCTTCCCGTTGAGCTCTCCCGCCAACAAAGGCTAAGTGGTCTGTCCATCACTTAAAATGTTGCGAAATTACTAGCTCATTCTACATCCAGCCCAGAACAATATTCTGGAACCCAAACCCCTTCAATCACTTTAGAATAAGGAGACAAGCCACTCCTTCTAGCTAAAATGAAGACCACAATCCAACATCATTGTTTCACCTCAGGGGAGTTATGCCTCAGCCTTCATCAAAACAAAGTGTGCCTCCTCCTCCCCAACTTCTTCCCTGAAGTACCCTCTTTCCCTCGTACAATGAAACCCCGCACCGCCTTTCTCTCAGCCATAAAGAAAACCAGTTGCTCAATGTCTCCCTCTAGTGACAGCAGTGGAACTGCACTGAGCCCCGCCTCCAACGATCAGGTATGGCTCATGCGCCACGCTAACAGTGGACAGTCCGATCTTACACACACACACACACACACACACACACACACACGAAGCTACAATGAAACAGTTCAGAGATGCAATGCCCCCCAGCAGTGATAATGGAATGTTCAGGCGAGGGTAGGAGCGGGGCTCAGAGAAGAAGGGGAGGTCCATGCAGCGTGCACAACCTGTTCATGCGCCCAAGCCCCGCCCCACGCCCCTACCTGCTCCCAGCTGATCTCCTTGGTCTCCTGACCCGTTAGTGGGAAGAGGGGAGAGAAGGGATGGGTTAAGGGGCAGGCAGAGGAGGGTGAAAGGGACAGATAGACGCAGAAACAGCTACAGACTTGGTCTCTGCCCCCCAGCCCAGGGAAGCGCATTAGTACCACCACCACCCCCTGCCCCGAGGCTGAGGCCACCACCCAGGCGCACTCACAGGCTTGGTCGTGGCTGTGAGCGACTCCATCTCCTCATGAGTCATCCACACGTTTCCTGTGGACTGAGGGGAAAGAGCTGTTATCCAGAGTAGGGGAGGGGTTTCCAGATCAGGTAACAGAAGAGTAGTAGAGACCCCAAGCCACGCCAGCACTGATCCTGTAATCTCAGAAAGGGTGATCACTGCTCACTAGTGACAGAAAGAAAAGGAATGATCATTCATTGAGCCCCTACGCTGGACCAGGACTCCTGGTGTGACACTGTAGGATCAGCACTGAACTGCGAACCACAAGGTCAGCTGTTCAAACCCACCAGCTGTTCCGCAGAAACCTATACAGAGTGGCTATAAATCGGAACCAACTTGATGGTACTTAACAGCAACAACTTTGTACCTGGCACACACAAGCCTGGGCTTTGAGGTTGGGCAAATGCAGGTTGGAATCTGAGAACTCTGAATATAGACTGTAGGAAATGAAAATAAAATAATGTTTATGTTCTCAGATACGATGGCAGTATGACTGCTATGGCAGAGATTATGTTCATATATAGAAGATGCCTGCTGTGGCAATTTGGTGTGGGGGGGGGGCTAACCTGTTGTGACATCTGCAAATTACTTTCAAATGCTTCAGATACATACAAAAGAACAAACCAAACTGATTACCTGCCATCAGTCCAGTTGCATTCATAGTGAGCACATGTGTTGCAGAGTAGAACTGCTCCACAGGGCTTTCAAAGCGCCTCAAAGGTACACAGAAAGTAGGATGGCAAAGGGTAAAGGATTACTGAACTGGGTGGATTGTTGTTACATGCCTGAGTCCGTTCCAACTCACAGTGACCCCTATGTACAACAGAATGAAACAGTCTAGTCTTGCACCATCCTCAACATTGTTACATATAAGCCCACTGTTGCTCACTCTGTCACTCCATCTCGTTGGGGGTCTTCCTCTTTTTTGCTGAGCCTCCACTTTACCAAGCACGATGTCCTTCTCCAGGGACTGGTCCCTACTGATAACGTGTCCAAAGTATGAGAGACAAAGTCTCAACATTCTGGCTTCTAAGAAGCATTCTGGGCCTGGTAGTCCTGGGGGTTAGACACTGGGCTGCTAAGTGCCAGGGATTGGATCAACCCACCAGTTGCTCCCAGGGAGAAAGAGGAGGTGGTCTGCTCCCATATAGAGTTTTGGAATCTCTACAATGGGTCCCTATGAGTCAGGATGGGCTCACTGGCAGCGGGTTGGATTTTGGTTTAATGCAAATGATTAACTTGTTCAGCAGCTAACCACAAGGATGGAAGCTTGAGTCTCCCAGAGGTGTCTGGGAATAAAGGTCTGGCAGTCAACTTCCAAAACCTCAGTCACTGGTAAACCCTGTAGAGCAGTTCTCCGACACACATGGGGTTGCCATGTGTTGGAATGAACTGACGGCAACCAATTTTTGTTTTGTTATTCATCATTTTCGTTAGGTTTGAAATTTCTCTTAATCAAGAGTTCACGAGTTCAAGTTATTGTTGTTAAGTGCTGTTGAGCTGGTTCCAACTCATCGCAACCCTGTACAGTGTTTCCAAGGTGCGGGTGGTGGATTTGAACCACTGACCTTGCAGTTCAGTAAAGAGAGGTAATGTTAACTAATCGTACATGGAGGAGATTGCAATCATTGTAAAGAAACTAAATGTGTGATTTGTGAATGTGGGACTGGTGATCTGTAAACCTTCACTCAATTCACAGTAAAAAGTTTAAAATGTAATTTAAATTTTTTTTTTTTTTTTAAGGTTTTTATTGTGGATTAAGTGAAAGTTTTCAGGGCACATCATCGGTTTCACATTCAAACATTCATATACCTTGTTTCATTACATTGATTATAATCCCCTCCACATACCATCAGTTAACAGAGTTTCTCTATATCCTCTTTAGCTTTTTTGGGGGGGGGGGAAACTTTGCCTTTTTGGAATTTACAGTCTCGGCTTTTAGGGAAGGTTTTTACATTTATCTGTGGGTATCCAGGGCTCATGTATGGAATTACTACCCAGCATAACTGAATAATCAGAAAAGGGACATTTTGCTATGTCTGCTAGGTGGCTAAAGTCTGATCCTCAGAGCCTATGGTTTGGACAGTCAGCAACGCTTGGGCCCACGGGGACTTGAACTCCTGGTTGGGTCTGCACGGTCTGCATCAGATTCCCCCTTATTTATTATTTGTTTAAGGGACTGTAATTTAAATTTTAAAAGTTGGAGCAAAAAGATAAAATAGTCCAAGCAAGCAAACAAACCAAATGCTTTGGGAAAAGATTAGAAGAGGTGGATGTGCTTGAAGAAGGGGATTCGTTTAGCTGATGGATTAGTGAAGGCCTCTTGGAAGTGGTGACATTGGAGCTGAGACCTCCAGGAGGATCAGGAACCAGCTTTTGGGGAAGAGAGTCTCCAAGAAATCCGAACAGCAAATGCAGCGGTCCCAAGGGAAGGCACTTTTTTGTACTCTGAGATGGGGGCACAGGAGTGAACCAAAGTGATTTTTGCAATTACGAGCTGACATGTGGCACACAGACAGGAAAAGCCAGGTGCACAAGCACATACACACACACACACAAACACACACACACACAAACACACACACACACACACACACACAGAGCAATGAGTGAGGCTGGAGAGCAGGCAGGGTTGGATGGGACAGTGTTAGAGTGCATAGGCTCAGGATTGGCTAGTCTGGGAAAAAGAGGCGGGACCTAGACAGCAAGGGCTGGGATTGGCCGCCGGGTACTCACCGTGCGAGAAGAGGCAGGGGCGGAGGGCGAGGTGAGCGAGACCATCTCCTGGATGGCCAGGCGCAGCTTGAGCCGGTGCAGTGGGTTGCTGATGCCTATCTCCCGCTGGATCTCTGTGTCCGACAAGTTGGCCATGATGGCGCCACTCTTGACGTTCGCCCGGCAAGCGGCCACATACCACGCAGGCATGCCTACCCAGAGCTGGACCACAGGGAGGAGACAGACAGACGTCGGCAGACAAGCAAATGCAGGAGGGGGAGACCGAGAGAGAGTGGGGAGAGAAGACACAAAGTGGGGGAAGGGGCGTGGGCAGACAGAAATTGAGTTGAGGGAGATATGGAAAGTTAGCAGTGAGAAGCACAGAGAGCCCAACACAGTGAGTTATGGGAGAGTCAGAGGTACCATAAGACAGAGAAGATGATACAGAGAAGAATGCCAGAGCCAGAGAGGTTAAGAGAGGAGTGGGAAAAGACAGAAAAGGAGGGGCAGAGACACAGACACAGAGATGAGAGGCCCATGGGTGAGAGAGAAGGGAGCAAAAGCCACGGGAGAAAGAGATACAGGGAAGGACAACAACACAACACGAGACATGCAGAAAAACAGAAACAGGGAAATAGTGAGATGTGAGGAGACACACAGGCACAGAGAGAGACCACAGGAGACCAGGGACCAAGGAAGACCAGAGGAAGAGAGGGAGGAAGAAGGGAAGAAATGTCATTTAAATCAACAGGAAGCCTGACCCCTCCCATTTTCTACCCCCCAACTCTGGGCTAGGATGGTAATAGGTAGGTAGACCAGGGCAACCCCTACAGGGGAGTCTGTCAGAAGGGTCAGACATCAAGAAAGTATTTCTGGGCTTCAGTACCTCCAGCCAGGAGACTACAGTGGGCCCATCCCAGGCAGCAAAGGGCAGGCCCTGGCGGCAAGCCTCTTCCAGCAGTTCATGCCTGGAGGTGGGGTGGGAGGGCAGGATCTGTCAAGGCTGGAGACCCCCAGCCCTCTTGAATATCCCCTGTCCCGTTTCCCCACACCCTCAGTTTAATAAATGTAGAAAAAATAATATGGTTGGTTTATTAAAAAAACAAAAAACAAAACTAATCTCTTCTCCCCTGTCTCCCATCAATCGAGAAGGGGGAAGGGGGAGGCAAAACAAAGAAAAATTCTAGGTCCCAAGTTCCCAAGAAAGCAAGTTCAAGATCTTAGACATCCCCTCCCAGCATTTTACTATCACTTATAAACACACTCACAAACACACACACATACTCACTTCCTCTTGTTCCTTCGGTCTTTGTCTCCGGGACCTGTCAGCTTGGCTAGCCCAAGAGGATCAGTGGCCAGTGTCTCATCTGACGGTGTTCCAGCTAGAGGCGGGAAGAGGTCAAAATTTGGAGAGTTCAAGAAGGAGGCAGAATCTCTCACACTGGGGGTGGTGTGGAAAATTCCAGGAAGACAGAGACTCCAAGGGAGAAGTGAGTAGGAGACCATATCAAAGGAGTCATAAATTAGCCAGGGAGGAATCAGCATTGCCTCCCCCAGACAGTTAAATGGATACCTCTCAAAAGCAGAGTTCAGTTCATTCCCTGGATTGGCTTTGGGGAGGTGGTGGTAGTGTGCCAGTAAATGTTTACCAACTGGCTACCCAGGAGTCCTGGTGTGGTGCTGTGGGTTAATGCTCTGGACTGCAAGATCAGTTTGACCTGCAAGTTCTGCGATTCAAGCTCACCAGCTGCTCCTTGGAAACCCTACACAGGGTCGCTATGGGGATGGTGAGTAGAAAGAGGCCCTGATGTGTAGTATATGCCGATTCCCACGCTGTAAATAACCTTACCATGGTCAATTTCAAGTAAGCTACTAGTATGATATCAAGGAGCCCTGGTAACCTAGTGGGTTATGCATTGGGCTGCTAACCACAAGGTCAGCAGTTCGAGTTCACCAGGCGTAACGTGGAAGAAATATGTGCTCCCATAAAGATTTACAGCCTTGGAAACCCTATATAGAGTCGCTATGAGTTGGAATTGACTCCACTGCCTATTGCCACCGCTAACAGCATAGTATCAGAAGGCTCACAAATTCCTGAAAATTAACAACAGGTTCTCAAAAAAGTCACCAAGAGAAGGAAGGTAGAATCTCCACTGAGTAGTATCCAATCTGCCTAGGCGGGGCTGATGAAATGAAATGAATGGGTCTCTTGTGATATAATAGTGAATAATTGTTATCAGGACTGATTGTGAGGGTTGGATATGTAAAGGTAGATATTTTGTAGCAAGGAGGGGAGTGATTAACTTTTCAGTCTAGGAGCGGAGGTCCCTGGGACCATCGAGGGAGAAGAGCGGAGAGCAGGACCCTACCCAGAGAAGCAGTGATGCCTGAGATGGAGGCAGAGATGATGACGTGAAGAAATGGAGCAGCTGGGGACTCTGGACTCAGGGAGGGAGAGGGGCTGTGTGCTGACAACCAGGGGGCAGGCTTGTAGTGTATAGCCTTTGGTTGGTTGATGATGCATGGAGGGAATTGTAACCATAGCAATGAAATGATATACGATAGGATGAATGTAAAACTAATGTTCTCCCATGTAAACTATCACATAATTCACAATAAAACATTAAAAAAGAAAAACAATCACAAAAAGCAGCCTCCAGTACATTCCTAGATATCCTGCCTCCAGGATACTCCTCCCTCTGCTATTTAATAGTTAAGTGAAATAATGAATTCATTTGACTCACCTTGTCACCTAGGCAGGCCCCAGAGGGCCCTTTTCTTTTCCCTGCTCCTCCCCTGTAACTCTGCCAAGTCCTGTCCCTGCCACCCTCTGAATTAATTACCAGATGATTGAAGACATAAATAAATCACACAGAAATATGTAGAGAAAGGAGGAATTCTGGAACCAGGACCCTCACCTAGGGAAGAGCTATCCCGGCCTGGTGGTCCCATTCGCCCCTTCTCCTTCTTGCCAAAAAGCCGGCCTATAGATGATTTGATGCTCTTCTTTTTGGGGGCTTTGTGCAGGGAATCCTGGGTTCCTTCACTGGATAAGAAGGATGGTAAAAGGGCAGATTCTATCCTCGCAATCCCTTCCCTGTCCACACTCCTTATCCCTGCTAACCTGCCCCGTGAGGGTCCCCCATCTTCCAGGGACCCCGCCTGTAGTGCCAAGGCCTGTGTCATTCTCTCAAGGCGGGCAGATCGGGGTGTGGGTGGCGGGGTGTCTCCTGGAATGGCTGGTATATCTCCTCGTGGAACTCCAGCTTCCTCCTTGGGAACATGATTCTGAGAACAGAGACCAGAGAGGCCTGACTTGGAGGGGTCATGCTGGGAACTCCTCACTAGTTGGGATGTTTATTCAAAGTGTGTATCTGAGATGCTGCTGGCTTAGAGGACCATTTCTGAAGGTAGTCTAGATCAAGTGGGGTGGAGTTGTAGAAATTGTAAAAGCAATAAAAGCCGTTACCTTGGAGTTTGACAAACTGGTATTTATAGTATCTGTCCTGGTTGTGGCGCTGTGAGTTAATGCGCTGGACTTCAAGGTCGCTTTGAACCGTAAGGACAGTGGTTCAAGCTCACCAGCCACTCCTCAGAAACCCTATACAGGGTCGCTATGGGTTGGTACCGACTCAATGGCACTTAACAACAACAACAAAACCTCTGGTGCCAGGAATGGGATCTGCTTGACCTCAAGGAAAACTAATGAGGTATACAGATTCTGGAAGGAGAAAATCAGGGTTTAAATCAATAAAACAGGCCTAATATCTCTGGAGCCTCCTTAAAGGTGGATTTTGAGGGCTTAATAAAGTCCTCAAATGTATATTTAGTCCTAGAAACATTTTTTTCAAATCCTATGTCCTGGTGTGTAGTTGAAAGATAAGCGCAATTTTGAAAGTTTAATATGGTACACAAATATACACTTAGCCCCAGAAACATTTTTTTTTTTTTAAATACTGAGTCTTAGTGTGATTTTGTAAGATAAGTATTGGACTACTAACCATAAGGCTGGCAGTTCAAACCCACCAGCCACTCCTCAGAAACCCTATACAGAATTGCTATGAGTTGGAACTGATTTGATGGCACATAACAACAACAACATGCAGAAACTTAGTGCATTAAGCAGGTAAAAAGTGCACCAGATCTGACTAATGTGAAAGTTAGGGATCAGGAACCCAATAGTACAGCCTCTCCTTCCAGTTTAACAGCTTTAAGGAAAACTGGAGATGTTTTTGAAAACCACTGATGGGAGGGGTTATTCTTGCTGTTTATTAGGAAGCATTGTTTCGGACTTCTCCCACCCCAGACTGGGGAGACCATCGAATACTCACGGCCTTGTCGGTGCCCTCACGGGCAGGGCTAGGGGGTGCCAGGCGGGGTGTCGAGTGGCCAGAGCTGGGAGGTGAGGGGCTGGCGAGGGTAGAAGTAGTGAGGGAGGGGGGTAGTGAGCAGCTGCTTCGGTAACGGCCCAGTGAGTCCAGGCCAGAGCTGGACACTCGGCTCTCCAGCTCCTCTGCCCTCTGCTCTGTTGTCTCCTTCTCCTCTTGGATTAGCCTGAGGAAGTAAAGAAAGGAGATTGGATGAATGTGCTGAGGCAAGCAATGAAGAAGGGAGTCTGGGAATCACAATAGGCCAGGAAGACTTGGTGGGTCAAGGGAAGTTCTGGGGAAGGCACAATGAGGTCTTGGTGAATTGATGATAGGCTCACAAGTTCAAGGGGTACCAAAGGGTCATGATAGGCCGAGGGGATCATGAAGTGATTAGGGATATCGACAAGAGTAGAACCACCAAGGATCTACTCTATGTGGTTCTCCTAGTGCCGAGAAGTTCTAGAAACTCATAAAGGGATTACAATGGGCAAGAGGTTGAGTTATAAGGAGGCTGGTAAGAGCAAGCACATAATAAGATTGGATATGATCACATGATCACGGGATATGCACTCAGGCCTTAATATCAGTCTGCCAAGCCAGAGAGACTGTGAGGTCAGCCTCAGAAAGAGTAGGGCCAGCCTGGGCCAGTAGCTCACTTGATCTCCTTGTTGATGGCCTCCAGTTGCTCTTGGAGCATGATGGCTAATGTCTGGACATCAGCCTGTCCACTGGGGGACAACAGCTCAGCCCCAAACATCCCCTCCGCCTCTTCCTCATCTGAGCCATCCAGTTCCCCGGGGAATGGAGGTGGCATGGACCCAGCAGGGGCAGACCGTTCCCACTCCTGTCACTGTGTGAGAGCAGAGAGACACATGTGGGTAGGGACCAAGGTTGGCACTAGTCTTTGCTCACTTCTGCTCACCTTGCCCAACTTCCCTGACCCTACCCATACCCCTTGACGTGGACTGGTCTCACTTCGTTAACCACACTACTCTTTTCCCAGCTCACCTTTCTCTCTTGACAGTTCCCTTTTCTAGACCCTTTCACTCTCTCCAAACCAAGACCACCCACATCATTCCATCCACTGTTTCGCTTGACCCAACCCACTCCCTTTCTTCTGAAAGCCCCACACACTCTGGAATTCTACACTCGGCTCACTGTTCCCAGACCCCACCTCTCTCCCTGGCCCTTGGGTTCTCACCAAGTACCAGGGCATCCGTATGAAGAGACATCCAGGCAGGTGGGGATGATGGAGTTGGTGAGGGAGGGAGAAGGAAAAAAGATAGGGTGGGTCCAGGAGACAGTGCTTCTCACCGCAGCCCCTTCCCAAAGTTCCATTTATTTGGATCCATTTCCCACTCAGTTCAATCCCCAGAGGCAGCTGCTGACCTTGGAAGACTCATCCTTGACCCCTGACCAGCGGCCCCTCTTGCCTGCCCGGCCACTGCCAGCCCCATAGGGGTCCAGGTGGGCGCCAGAAGGTAATGTAGGTGCCTGGGAATACCGGAGCTCCAGGGCACTGCCAGGGAGAGACCTGTGGGCATGAACAAGGTGTGAGGGGCCAAAAGGTCAAGAAAAAGGAGCAGAAGCCTAGGATCAGGAAAAAGGGCTTGGGCTCTCAGGTCATGAAGTCAAGGGGTCAAAATAGGAAGGAGGCATGGAGGTCAGAGGATGGAGAAAGCGTCTGGAAGACAGGGCATGAGGGTGGGAAACCTGGAAATGAGAAGGAATAAACTCAGTCATGGGGGCTCAATAGGCCAGGTGGGGCCGGTACTTTCACCTAGAGTAAGAGGATGGTGGCCTCCCTCTCAGCTGGTCGATCTCCATCTGCATCCTTTCCATCTCAGCCAGCAGTTGCTCCTGGGGTACAGGGGGTGCCACATCAGAATCTGTAACCCCCACCCAGACTAGCTTTGACTCCACCCTCAGTCCCACCTGCCTGGTCCTATCCCTCCATGGGCCACCCCTCCAAGCAGCCCTTGCCTTGTTAAGCAGCAGTTCGTCTTGAAGCTTCTTCATGTTGGCAATCTCCTCACTCAGTGAGTTCTGTGAGGGACAAGGGAATGTCAGGGGCCAAAGCCTGAAGCCAGCAGACCCTGAGGGCTGCAAGAAGCCTCCATAGCACAGAGAGGGGCCTGAGATGCACCGGGGGGGAATGAGGTAGAAACTATTTGGTTAGCTGGAGAGGGGGGGAAATGGGGGCGAATGCTGCTCTGGGAAGATGACTCCCTGCAGAGCCTAGAATTTGTCATCTTGTGTCACCTCAGAGTACTCAAGGTTTGAGAATCCAGAAGATCGGAGGCTTTGGGGAACTTTAAGGTCACAGAATTTAGCTCTTGGGGTATTTGGACTGAAAAAGTGGTCCCAACAATAGAGAAGAGAAATCTGTAGAACTGGGGTGTTTGAGCTTGGAGAGATCTCAGAGAGTGGATCTGGGTGAATCCTCTGCGGCCTTTGGAGGTTCTCGGAGTCCTGAGATGAAACACACCTTTTCCTCCAGCGCCCCCATGCGCTCCTTGAGGTGGAGCTGCAAGCGCTCATTGGATTCACTCAGCAGCTTGTCCACGGTCTCGGATAGCCGCTTGTTGTGATCATCGTTCATTTTTTCCCGCTGCCGCGCCTGCCCAAAGGAAAGCAGAACAGGGTGCTCAAGTCCACCTGGCCCATGCGCTCGGCCATTGCTCTAAGACTCCGCCCCCCAGTCCAACCCCGCCTCCTCCTTTAAGCTCCACCCAACACCAAAGTCCCGCCTCCTCACCCGCTGCAGCTCCTGGTTTTTCTCTTCCAACTGGGCTTCCAACTGTCGAAGCCGTTCCTCAAAATTCCCATGACGTTCCTCGGCCTACGGATGAAACAGATGGCGTCTGGCTTTGTCCCACCAGGACCCAGGACAGACATCCTCCTCCTTCAAGGCTAAGGGCCCGGCTCCTCAAAACATCAGGTTTCTCCTACATCTGTGCTTTAGGATCCGCCCACTTCTCTTAAGCCCCGCCCCATCCCTCAACTCTTGGCCTCCCCTCACCTTGTTGAGCGCCGCCACGCGCTGGGCCAGCTGCGCCTCTATCTCCGGTAAGGTCTCTGCCTTCTGCAGCGTCTGCTGTAACTTCTGCTTGGCGTCATCCAGCCACTCGGCCAGCTGACGGCTCTTCTCTTCACTCTGGGGAATGGAGAAGTGAAAAAGGGGCGGGACTAAGTCACGCGGGCTATATAGCCCCGCTCCCAGTACCACTTTTCTGGCCCGCCGGGCCCCCACCTGCCGGTACAACGACTCCTTGCTGGCCAGTTCATTCTCCAGCTTGTCGTTAGCGTCATGCAGAGACGTGGCCTCGCGTTGGGCACTCAGGTAGCGCTTCTCCAGCGTTGTGATTCGCTCCTCCATATCCTCGCGTTGTGCCAGCGCCTGCAAAAGTGGACTAAATACAGCTCCCAGAAGTCCCCAGGGTAGCCTAGGTTTAGAACCCCAGACCAAGCCTCCAGAGTATTCAGGGAAATGAAGTCCCTTGCCTTCTGGGCGTCAGAATGGTGCTACCACACCTGCCAAAAGTTCCCTGATCGGGTCAACCTTAGGCCCTCTGCCGCCTACGAGTTAAAATGGTGTAAAACAGCACTAGCTTAGAAACTCTTAGTATTTCACAGACTGTAGGATATGGCTCCATGCCTTAAAAAGGCAGGTATTATAGAAGGAGATATTGGAACATATAGCTAATTGCTTCCATGAACAACTGACTTGTTTGCCAAAAGAACAGAAGAACTGGATAGTGTCCCGTTATCCTTACTGAATGTTTTGATCGAAGTCTATAAAAAAAATCCTGATTAAAAGGGGGGAAATGTAGAACCGAATTTAAAATTCTCATGGAATCCAGACTTTCTGGAACCATTGAGGCTAAAATGAATGAAGCACTGAAACTATTGCTCTGAGATCATATTTAAATCTTCAACCAAAAATATCCCCTGAAGTCTTTCAACTTAACAATAATTTAGCTTAATTAGTAAGGGATGTCTGCCTTGAGCATTGCACTCTTTTAAAGTACTATCTCTACGCAATCAAATTGACAACAGCAACTCGAAAGATTAGATAGGAGTTTAAAGGACCTTGAGTTTATGTCCACAGGAAAGGAACAATCCAGAAAACGAGGATAAGAATGGTTGCAGAACCTGAAGAATGTAATCACTGTCACTAAACTCTACACGTAGAAATTGTTGCATTGGTGTAGGTTTCCTATGTACTTTTTCAACAGCAAAATTTACAACCCACTGCCACTGAGTTAATTCCAGCTCATAGAGATCACATAGGACAGAGTAGAGCTGCTCCCTAGGGTTTCCTATGCTATAAATCTTTAAATCTTTTTGATAACAAACAGCGGCTGGAGTGTCTGAACTGCTGACCTTTCAGTTAGCAGCCAAATGCTCCATACATTAACGATGGACTGCAACCTGCAAGGTCTGAGGCTTGAGCCTGTCAACCGCTCTGCAGGAGAAAGATGAGCCTTTCTGATCCCGCAAAGATTTAAAGCCTTGGCCTGGTGTGGCACTGCGGGTTAATGTTCTGGACTACAAGGTCAGTTTGAACTGCAAGGTCAGTGGTTCAAGCTAACCAGCCACTCCTCAGAAACCCTATATAGGGTGACTATGAGCTGGAACGAACTCAAATGCACTTAACAACAACATGCGAGTCCTGGTGTGACTCTGGGATTAATGCACTGCACCATCTCGTTGGTTTGAATCACAAGGTTGGAGCTTCAAATTCACCAGCCGCTCCTTGGAAACCCTATTCAGGGTCGCTATGAGTCAGAACTGATTCAATGGCACACAACAACATGTATATTTGTATGTGCCTTTGTATCATAGCTACTCTGCATAGGGTTTCCAAGGAGCAGCTGGTGGGTTTGAACTGTCGACTTATAGTTCACAGTGCTGATCCTACAGCACCATACCAGGTCTTATATTTCCCAGAAACTTTTGGTGCAGCATATGGTTAGAATTAAGGAGCTCTGGTAGCGTAGTGGTTACGAATCGGGCTGTGAACCACAAGGTCAGCAGTTCGAAACTACCAGCTGCTCCGCGAGAGAAAGATGAGGCTTTCTGCTCCGGTAAAGATTTACAGCCTCAGAAACCCTGTTCAGGGTCGCTATGGGTCAGAACTGACTCAACAGCACTTAACAACATGGTTAGAATTACAGAGCAAATGCCCTCAGGTCTCTGGGTAAACAAAGTCCCTTTCCATCTAGGAAGTAACACTTTAGAAGCCCAAAGGAGGGGCTCCAGGCTCTCAAGGGAGATCACACTTCCCATAAGCCACTAGGGAATTCCAGGCCCTGGAGGGGCAATGAGAAATAAATGCTCATTCCCTTTTCTTATCCACTGCCCTCAAGAATCCAAACCCTACATTTCCCAGCAGCCTCTTTGGCATGGGAGTTAACAAGGGTCCCAAGCCAGGAAGGAGTGAAATACAGACAAAGGAATTCAATTTAAAGGCATTAAGAGAATTTCCCATAATAACTAGACTAACATAATAACTAGACTCCTGGTGTGCCACTGTAAGGTAAGCAATGGACTGCTAACAGCAAGGATGGCAGCTCAAACCCGTCAACTGCTCCTTGGAAACCCTATACCTGGTCACTATGAGTTGGAACAACACTTAACAACAGCAATATAGTAACTACCGACAGGTTACTGTGTGCCTATATGTGCCAAATATCAACTCTGACCAGTGTTAAGAATCCCATTTTACCGGTGAGCCAACTGAGGCTCAGACGGAAGGAGAGCCCCGCACAAAGCTGTGGACTGACTCCAGTTTCATCATTCATGAGCGCTGGGCCTTTGTGCAAAGGGGGAATGTTAGGACTCAGGGGAGGGACAGAGGGCAGCCCATCAGGGGCTCTGGCCTCACCTCCTTGAGGTCGCGCTGCAGCTTGGCGTTAGCTTCCTCGGCCTTACCCAGCTCGCGGTGGGCGGTGCCCAGCTCCTCCTCTAGCTGGCTCATCTGGCGGCACAACACCGCCAGGCGCTCCCGCAGCTGGCACACCTCCGCTCGCTGCCGTTCCAGGGCCTCCTCCAGCTCCGCCGTGCGCCGGTTTGAGTCTCCACCAGGACCCAGGCCATTGGCAAGGGTCTGGAATGAGGACGGTAAGGGAGGAAGGGGTAGGATCGGGAGTGGAGGAGACAGAGAAATTCAGGGAATGAATGCAAGGAGAAAATTGATCAGCAGGGGGCGGTAGAGATAAAAGATTCATAAAGGTGGTTCTACTTTGCACACTCAGAGGTCGCCATGTGTGGGAATCGACTCCATGGCAACAAACAACAAAGATCATGTAGATCAGAGTCCACAGAAGTCAAGGTGGGTCATAGCAGTTAGTTAAATGGTGTGAATCAGAAGTCAAAGGTCAGTAAGGGTCTCGAGGGTTCAGATGTCCTGGAGTCAGTGAAGGTCATCACAAAATCAAAGGGCTGAGCAGAGGTTACAGGGTGGGGATCCATAAAGAGCAGTAAGCTACCAGAAGGAGGGGAGACCTTCCATCTCTCACCTGCCCGTCTCCATCTTTGCCTGGCTCTTCTAGTCCCGAACGTCGCCTAGACATTTGCTCTCGAAGGTTCAGAGTCTGGATAAGTGAAAGGGGGCTCAAAGCTGGGAATCGCAAACTCTACTACTCATTGACACTGGCCGTCTAAGGACAGTTCACAGGTGCCTCCATCTGCGTTGACTTTAGTCCTTCCGGGGGCCATCCTGACCCAGCCTCAAGGTTTACCCTTAAATACACTCACTTATTTTCTCCTTGTCTGTGCTTTCATAATCTCTTCTACAGATACTTTATTCTTAGCCAAATTTCCCCTTCCCCTTACTTTTTTGTCTACCTTGTGGAAGTTTCCTCTTGAACCTGGCCTTCCCCATCCAATCATCTCCCCCTTAGTCCATCCTATTGACAGTTTCTTCACTCCCTAGTAACTCACTGGGAAGTTCTCCCTTCTTTGGTACCCCACTGATTTTCTCTATAATCCAACCCCACTGTTCCTTGCCCTAGTCCTGTCCCAATTGATTCTTTCCAGAACCCCACCCAATCAGCACCCCTTATCCCATTCGCCTGCCTCCTAAGCCTTGACCCAATTGGTTTCTCCTTAGTCCCCCACCACCACCATTGGCTCAACTCCCTTTTTGGCCACACCCCACCTCTTGATTGCTCAGCTCCAACTCCTCCTCTAGCACCGCCACCCGCTCTAGCGCCATCCGCAGCCGCTCCCGGACCTGAAGATGGAAGCCAGATAGATAGGTGTGAGGTGGCGAAAACATCCAATCTACAACAGTTAGACCATACCCAGAACACCACTGGAATGAAGTCTATTTGGGTAACGTTTGAATTTCCTCTGGCCATTGTGCTTGGGTGCTCACGCAGCCCCACCACTGGTAGATACACCTCAGTTCTTCATTCTATTATCAGTCACTTGGGTCCCAGTCAGAGTTGTTGCTGTGAAGTGCTGTCGAGTCAGTTCTGACTCTGTATACGTTTCTGAGGATCAGCTGGTGAAGTCTATCCCAATCAATCACAGTCAATATTCTTCCCCACTGTGGACATTCGCAGCCAAACAAATAGAATCTCACTCCTTCTGGATAGCCCTTAACGAATCACAACTAAAAGCCCGCCCACACTAGACAGCGCCAACCAATCACAGCTAGAATCCTTCCCACACTGGACAGCCACAACCAACCACAGCTATAATCTCACTCATTCGGGATCAGTCAATCAGGGGTTTCCATTCTACACTCTGCCCATCCCAGTCCTCACACCTTCTCATCCAGGGCCTTGTGGTGCTCGAAGAGGGATTTCAGAGCCTTGAGTACCTCCACCTCGGAGGAGACGCCGCCCGGAGACTGGGCCTGACGCTTCACCACTGTCATGCGCAGTGACCTCTCGTGTCTAGACACCAAGCACTCCAGATGTTCCAGGAGGAGCTAAAGAGATAGGATATGGGTCCAAGAGCGGGTGGGGGGGGGGGCGGTGTTAGCAGAATGGTCAAGAAAGAGTGGTCCAGAGAGTGGATATATGGATAGAGGTGGACCCAGGAAAGGTATAAGGAAATAGCCAGGGCAGGGCAGCTAGAAGTAGGGGTGAAGTGCAGTTAGAGGTGGTAGAGGAAGAGAGGAAGATTACGGAGAGAAGGGAGGGAATATGAAGAAAGATAGGGGACCAAGGGAAGAAACAAGCCAGGAAATGGCAGTAGGGAAGAGAAGACCAGGGAAGGGGTGGTGGTGGGGAAATCAGTCTGTGACCCAGCCCATCCACTTAGGCTCCGCCCTCAAACCCCTCACCCTCACCCGTGTGTTGTTTCGCTCCGCCTTCAGCTCCGCAATCTCCTCCTCCCGCTCTAACAACTGCTCCCTGCATAAGTTCAGTTCCTTCGTCAGGGCTGCAAACTCCTGTCCGGATGTAAACAGGATCGGGACAATCACAATCAATCCTTTCCCCATCTCGCTCATTCAATGGAACTCACTTCAGGCCCCGCCTCTTCCAGCTAAGCCCCGCCTTCTCTTCAGGCTGCTCTGGCTCTGCCCATCAAGGCAAGCCTCCTCAAGACTCCTCCCCTCCAAGCGCCAAGCCCCACCCCTTGAGGACCGTCCCCTAGGCTCCTCCACTGGTCGAGACCCCGCCTCTCACTGGCTCCGCCCCCGCCCCGCCCAGACCTGGGGCAGCGCGATGCTGAGCTGGCGCTGCAGCGAGTCCTTCTCGTGGCCGAGCTCGCGCAGCCGCAGCTGTGCCGTCGCCAGCCCGTCCTGCGCCTCGCGCAGCGTCTCCAGCAGTCGCTCACGCTCCGTAAGCATCGTGACCATGAGGCGCTCCAGCTCGCCACCCGTCTCGTCCGGGCCCAGCGCCGAGCCCCGCCGGCCATCCTCGCTGATGGTGGGCATCACCTCGCACATCATGGCGGCGGTGCCGGCCTGCGAGCGGGGGAGGGGGCAAGGAACTGAGTCTGGGCTAGTCTAGATACAGACCAGAGAAACTGAGGGATGGTCCCCTCGGATCCTACGTGGGGAAAGTGAAGCGGGCAACTCAGCACTGCACAGAAGAAAATGAAGCCCATTCATTCTCATCAGGAGAAACTGAAATCCATTGCTCTCTGGGGAAATAGGCCTGGCTACCGGAGATCGAGCATTTGGGGAAACCGAGGTCGGACTCCTTCAGACACTGGCAGCAAAATACTCTCAGGTATCTCCTTGCTTAAGCGACTGTGGAAAACCCAGTCTCCGCCTATTCTGGGTCTACTGAGAAGCCCAACCCAGTGCATGGATGGGAAAACTGAGACCCAAGCCAGAACTCAGAAATTATGCCCTCAGGAGGCCATAGAGCTGGGATCACAGAATTAGGTCACTAATGCGTGGTTATGTGCATACTGTCACAGAGATGATTCTCACCTACTATTTTGCCCAACTCTTGCTGCCTTCCATTCCCCCCAGATATCTGGACCAGGCCTGGGAATTTCAAAATAAAGAAAGAAAGAAAAGGAAGTGTGGTGGGGGGCGGCGCTACTGTGTTAGCTCCCTCACTCCTTGGGACCCAGAAGTCCAAGGGACGGACTTCTCCCTCTGCAGGACACACAAAAAGTCTAGACCCTCAGATACTCCTTTCTTAAACTCATAAATTTCAACTGTCAAAACTACTCCTCCAGGACCCAGGAGTCTACATCCACTCCTCTTGGGGCTGCAATTGAGAGAAGTGGAAGGGGGAGGGATTTCTGGGGCATGAGGGTAAAACTTGGGTCACTGGAGCCAAGGGGTGGGGCAGAGAAGAACAGAGGCCCCCTGAGCCACTCCCTCAGGAGACATCAAGTCCAACGGGTCTGGCTGGCCCTGCCGAAAGCCAAAGGACTTTCACTCTAGTCCCTCCTTTCCCTCTTCCCCTACAGGCAACAGCACAACCGGTTCTGAAAGTGGATAATTCCCAACCCCGCCCAATATGCAGACTGTATCCAAAGCCTAAAACTGGAACTTTGCACTCCTTTGAGGAGAGGAGGGTGCTGAGGACCTTGACCTTGGATCCTGGGAGAAGAGGGGACTGGGTATCATTGTTACCCTTAGGTCTTTAAAGTGGTGGGTCTGAGAATCCAGGCACCTGAGCTCCCACATTCAGAGGACAAGAATCAGAAAAAAAAATGTTTATTTTTTAAAGGGTATCTAAAACCCAGAACATACTCAGAAGAGACAACAGGACATTTTAGGGAGGCTGCTCTAAAACTTCAGATTCACTAAGTAGAAAACAAAACACAGAAAGGCTGGGCATAGAATCTCAAAAGCCACTGGAACAAAACACAAAGTAGAGGAAGGACACAATTCCACATTTATAACACACTTGGGATGAGATCCTCATATATAGCCAAGTAGAGGGGCATATTCTAGAACCAATCCTGGAACCTAGAACACAGTCAAAAGCAATCTAGTAACTTAAGAATGTTTGCGTTATCACAGAACTCCAAACACAGAGGGAACATGATGCTACCCAAAAACAAATTTAATGCAATACACACCAAACTCAGCCAGAAGGCATAATCTAGAACTCAGAACCCAGGAGGGGTATAACACAGAATATAGCATTCTTGATTTTTATCATGTGTCTGAAAATGCTAGAACCCAGAAAACAGAAGGCATGCTCTAGAATTCAGAATGTGCTCTGGAGACAAAGAGAAGTCTGAAAGTAGCAAGGAGTTTGCCTGAAATTTATGAGTACCTGGGGGGGTGGGATGATGGATGCAGAAAGATACATGCTGAGACCTGAGAATTTCCTGGGATAAGGACCAGCAAAGGGCGAGGGAGGATTCTAGAATATTTCTAGTCTAAAGATCCCAGAAGAGAAGAGAGCCTAGAATGTGCTTACAACTCTAGAATGGCAGATGGAGGAGAAAGTACACAATCCACCAAAGAAGTTCTAGACTAAGGCCATACTAGGAAATCAATGGAAAGAGATGACAAGAATAGAATAATTGGGTTGTTGTTGTTGTTATGTGCCGTGGAGTCGGTTCCGACTCATAGTGACTCTGTACAGGGTTTCCAAGGCTGTACATTTTTACGGGAGCGGAAAGCCTCATCTTTCTCCCGCGAAACAGGTGGTAGTTTCGAACTGCTGACCTTGCAGTTCGCAGCCCGATTCGAAACCACTACGCTACCAGAGCTTCTAGACTAATTGGGTAGATGGATAATAGATAGAGTCTAGAACCTGAAGGAAGATGGAATGCAGAACACTTCCACAAGAACCTTCTAGATTTAAGGTTGTGGGATTGGCTAGAACCTAAAATAGCAAAGTACATTTTAGAATTGATAACACAACTTGAAGAATGACTATACATCATCATCGTTATATACACAGTCTAGAACTTAGAATTCTCTTGGGAAGATTGTTGTTGTTGTTAGGTGCTGATAAGTTGGTTCCAATTCATATTGACCCTATGCACAACAGAAGGAAACAGTGCCCAGTCTTGCGTCATCCTCACAATTGTTATGTTTGAACCATTGTTGCCGCCACTGTGCCAGTCCATCTCACTGGAGGTTGTCCTCTATAATGGAATTTAAAGCAAAATCAAAGATGTGGCTGGAACCTAGAACATATCTGAGATTAAATATTTAGCTGAGAATAAGCAAGGCTTGAATTCTATACATTTGTAACAAACCTGAAGAGAAAAGAGGGAGGAATCAAAAATTGACTTCGGAGAATTATATCTAAGTATTTGAAAACACCTTGAAAAATAACTATAAAATAGCGTCTGACCTAGAACATAGAACATGCCTTGAATGAGGATAGAACAGAGATGTCGACTGCTGTGTCCTAAAATGTGAAGGGAATCTAGAACATGTAGCACTGTAAGAGCACATGTGTGAACAGTAATGTGAATGAAAGACAGTAGGTTCTAGATCACCTAATGAGTCTATGCCACAGAACACACCTGGAGGAAGGGATGTATATATTTGGCTCATAGGCCCATAGAGTGTACTTGGAAGATGGGAAACATGCTATGGATCTCAGGAGGCAATGGGATGCTGGAAACATCTCAAGACGCTGGGTTTCAAGGCAGAGTCCCAGTGACCCCAACACCTGAGATATGGGAAGGAGAAGTGGGGATGTGATCTATGAAGGCCACGGGAGATGTGATGTTGACAGGGGGCTCGGGAGCCAGGTGGACCTGAGTCCCTAAGATTAAGAGTTGAGGAATGAGATCCCTAGAGGGAAGAGATGGCCTGGGCCCCTGAATCCCTGCAGAGGCAAAGGGTGGGGGATGGGGTGAGTGTTGGACACTTGGAAGCCTGAGTCCTTTGGGGAAGGGAGAACTCGGACAGATGGCCTCAACTAAGGCTATAGAAAGGCTGGGATCTTAACTTGTGGGTCTCTGAGGGGGTGCAGGACTGGGGACAAGGCAACTAGAGCTCTAAGAGAGAAGGTGGGTAGAAGGCCAAGAATTCTATTCCAGTGTCTGAAAGGGAAAGAGTCACGGCACCTGGATCCCTAAGGGACCAGAAGCTGGGATGCTGGGTGTTGGGTGTTTTTATCTGAGAGGCACAGGGGTTGCTTGAACTGAGTCTCCAGAGGTTGCGAAAATTGGGAGGGTGGATTCCTAGGTGTTGAGGGGGTGAGCAGCGCTGCCAGCTGGGTCCTTAAACCAGATGGAAGGAGAACCTACAGGATGGGAGTAGGAGCCCCGGATGGATACCAGGGTCTCTAATGTGGACAGGGCAGGGATTTTCAAAAGCCCAAAGGCAGCGCCTGGGCTGCTGAGTATAGGAGCCTAGAGGCCAGCCAGCGGAAGCCTGAGGCCCGAGCGCTTGGGTCGGGGAGGGCCGGGTATCCCTGGGTCAACGGCGCAGGGGGGATCCCCGCACCGCCCATGTCCCCTCCCTGGCGGCGGCGGCGGCAGGCGGTGGGGGAGGCGAGGCTGCCGAATCCCGACCATGGACAGCTCCAAAGTGGGCCTGTGTCCAGGGCGCCACCAAGCCGACCTGGGCCAAGGGATGCGACCGGCTGCCTGAGCTGTGAGGACTGGGGACAGGCAAACCGGTGATACGAAGAGGGGCACGATGCGGGAGCGACACGGGGCGGCCCGTCATGGCTGGGGGAGCCCACACAGCCGCGGCGGGCGTCTGGAGCCCCCGGGCCTGGGCCGAGGAGAGGGAACTAGGTTCAGAGTGGGTTCCAGGGCTGGACTAGGAGAGCCAGGCTCCTGGGCCCTGGAGGAGGCGCGCGGTGGTAGTCCGCCTGTGCTTCTGGGGTTCGGGGGGACTCTGGGTGCCGGGAGCAGCACGCCTGGGTCCCTGGGGGTGGGCTGTGCAGTCTGGGCTCCGGGTTCCCGGGAATGAGGAAGAGAATCCAGGATCTGGGGGAGGCTCGGCCAGGGGTCCCTGGGGTGGGCGCTGCCCGGCGGGCCGGGAGCTACCTACCTGGTCCGCGGCGGTTGCGGGCGGAGCTGGGCTGCAGGAGGGACGTGGGGTGGGGTGGGGGCACCGGGCGGGGCCCCTGGCAGAGGCCGGGGCCCGGATCTGTGGTTCTGTAGCCCTGTCTCCGCTGTTCGCGCGGGCTCCGCGTCTCTGGCTCCGGCTTGGACGCTGGGGACCCTCCTCCCCCTCACGGTTTCACAGTCCTCGGGCCCCCAAAAGAGCCCCTTTTCCCGGTCACCGCTCAGCCTTCCCCCGTAAGGCCGCAGCCGCCAGATCCAGGGGTGCCCACCAGCGCCCCCCAAACCCCACCTTCCCCCCCAAAATTCCTCCTCCCTCTTCTGCCCCCCCACCCCAGCTGCCGGGCGGTCGTGGCCCCTTTAACAGGAGACTGACAGACGGCGCTGAGCAGCCAATGAAAAGCTGCGTCGGCGCCGGCCGGCGACTAAACCCCGCCTCCGCACGGGCCGGGAGGGGTCGCGCGGGCGGAGAGAGGGAGGCGGGGCTCAAAGCGCGTTGACCAATAGGTGCGCGGCGAACGGCGGCTAGGGCGGGAGGCGGAGCCCGGCAGGGGGATGATGTCACCTAAAGAGAGTGAGCGCGGCGTGGTACACGAGTCGCGACCCGGGATCCCGGCGGGGGTGCTCGGCGGCCTTCGAGCCGCACGGGACAGGAAGGCAGGGTGGGCGGCGGGGTGGGGATAAAGGCTGATTGCCAGGTGGGTTGAGCCTTGGAGAGTCTTGCTCGGTGTGGAATGTGAGGTGAGGCCCCCGTCGGTGAGTGCACCTTAGTCCACATCCCTGGCGCCTGCCTGGGGAACTGCACGCGGCACCCCACCCCCGCCTCCCACGCAGTCGGTGGTGAGGCCTGCAGGGTTCCCCTGGAGAAGGAGGCTAATGGTTCACGCCGCTCGGCCCCCCCAGAGCCCGCCCACTGGCTCCTGCAGCGTTTCTAGATTCCTCAGGGCGACAGGAGCAAGGGATTCCGTTCGTGTCCAAACTCCCGTAAGGGTAGGGGGCGTTGTCATCTGTTCTGTCCCTCACTCAGATCCAGCCCCCAGGGTCTCAAAAGGGCGTTTTCTGGACTAGGTTCTTGACCTCAGCTCCTCCTCCTCCCCCACTTCCCAACTCCAGAATGCTGGAAAGACACACAGACACGTGATTAGGATCAAAGATCTTTAAATAAGGGGCCAATGGCAATAAATACTATTTATTTATAAGGAAGGGACTGGGGAGGGTCCAGATCTGTGGTTTCAGCCTCGAGACTCCAAGGACCTACAAGGGAAGTGAAGAAGGGAATCAGACTCAGAGAAGGGGCCTGAGGGGACCCTGGAGAGGGCCAGAGGCAAAGGCCTAGGGGAGTGGATCGGGACCCCATGGGATTTGGCCAGAATGGTTGGGGTGAGATCCTGGGTAAGGGGTCAGTGATCAAGATCCCAAGGGAAAGGAACCACGGCTGGGGCGGGTGGGCGCAAGGAAGCAATGGAGGCCCAAGGGTAGGGTGCTGAGGGCTCACGAGTAACTCTGATGCTGTTGGCGCCGGCGTGCTGAGCGCATCTTCTCGAAGCGGGCCTCCATCTCCTCGAGCACGCGCGGCGTGTAGCGCACCACCAGCTTTACGGAGCCCTGAGCCGCCTTCAGCAGCTCCACAGCCTTCTCATGCTGTTCACCCTCCACGCTCTGCAGGGCAGTGCACCCACTGGGCCTCGGGCCTGACTGTCACCCAGCCCCCAAGCCAGACACGGGACCAACTGCTAATGAGGCTGGGGTTGGTCCACAGAGACCAAAGCCTCATGTCCCCAGGGTAGAATCCTTAAGTTTTGAAGCAGTGTCCTCTCCCAAAACTCCCCCATGTCAGGGACCATCTCATGCCTTCAGTCACTGTGCCATACTTCCTTCCTCCCACCCACTTCCCTCTGGTCTCCTAAACACCCTCAGGACAAAGTGTCAGCTCCTCTAGGGAGCACTCAGGCCTTCTTGGCTTGTCCTACCCACCTAGCTGGCTCTGCCTCCATCTACATCTGTACAGAAGTAGAACGCAGCATCTTTCCCCAACAGAACAGCTAGTACTAGGTTCAAACCAGTGATCATTGAGTTAGCAATCAAGTGCTTAACCACGACCCCAACAGAGCTCCTTCAATCAACTCGTTGTTAAGTGCCTGTATAGGGATTTCCAAGGAGTGATTGATGGGCTTGAACTACCAACTCTAACCACAGGGAATTACCTTCAGGTCCCAGACCTCCATCAAGGTCGGGCCCTTTTCTCTTCTTGAACAGTTTGTTTGCTTGGAGAACTCCTATTCATCCTTCAAAACCCAACTCAAATGTTCCTTCCTCTGCAAAAACTTCCCTTATCTAGACTGGTCTGCTGCCATATTTAGGCTCTCACAGTGTTTTAGGTTTCTCCATTATACCATATCCTCTCCCTGGGTTAGGACTTTTTCAGTAAGGGTCTTTCTTCCTCCTCAGAGAGGAAGTCCTTCTGTGGAGGAGTGGAGACTAGCCTCTCTCCAGCACAACGCTCAACCAACGTGTTCACTGAATGGATGTCATAAGCAGGGACTCAGCAATCCTGAGACAGACTGTGCCCCCAGCCTGGTGTCAGCCCACTACTTACTACGCCATTCACTGACAGCAGCTGATCCCCGCGCTTGAGACCTCCGTGGCGGTCAGCCACACCCCCAGGGATGACTCGGGAAATGTAGATGGGTGAGTTTTGCTCCTTGCCCCCCATGATGTTGAAGCCCAGACCTTCATCCGTCTTGGGCAACTCCACCACCCTGGGATGTGCATGGCCCTCGCTAGCTGTGAAGGCAGCTACTGTAGCCTAGGAGAGAAAAAGTGTTGGAGGGTAGGGTCCCTCTATGGTAGTCATTAGAACGGGGTGTCTAGCGGGGAATCAATTTCCTCAAGCACAGACACCACCCCAAGTCAACACAAGATCACCATGCAAGGACCCTAAACCCTTTTTAGCTCATTTCAGATGCCTCTGATGTTTCAAAGAGCGAGTTGCCATTTGGTGCCAACCCACTGCCATCGAATCGACTCTGACTCATAGTGGACTCTATTTTGGGTTTCTAAGACTAAATCTTTCAGGAGTAGACAGTCTCATTGTTCTCCTTCAGAGCAATGGCTGGGTTTGAACCAATGACCTTGGAAATAGTAGTTCAATGCCTTACTGTGCCACCAGCGCCTTCCATTTGGTGCCAGTGTATCTTTAATTTCAACACTTGCCAATCATGCATTTTTAACTGATGAAAACAAGAGTGGAAATACTCCAAGAAGCTATAAGAAATTGTTGTTGTCGTTCAAGTGCCACTGAATCTGTTCTAACACAGAGCAACCCTGTATAGGGTTTCTAAGGTATGGCTGGAGGGTTTGAACCAATGACCTTTCCGTTCAAACCGACCTTATCATCCTCGTCCAGTGCTTATCCTACAACGCCACACCAGGATTTCAATAAAAAACAACATGGAATTTAATTCTAATAAGGAGTCTCTGGGTGGCACAAACAACTAATCACTAAATGCAACCACAGGTACCTGAGAAGAAAATCCTGGTGATTCACTTCTGAAAGGTCACAGCCTTGAAAATGCCATGGAATGCGATTCTGCTCTACACACATGGGGTCACCATTAATTGGAATTGAGTCAACAACAATGGATTTTTTGGGGGGTGTTATATTTTAGTAAGATTTTGATGTTCAGTGTTTTCATCATATGGATTTTTTTTTTTAAGGTTATCTTCTATTCAAGCATATGGCTCTGGTTTCTATTTGCAGTTACTATAAAGATGTGTTTGTGTGGTGTGCTTAAGGGAAAAAAATATGATTAGCTAAAGAAAATTACTAAAGAAATAATAGTAAGGGAGTACATAAAGCAAAGCCAAACACAAAACCCGTTGTCGTGGAGTGAATTCCAACGGATGATGTCTTGTGTGTTACAGGGTAGGATTTTCTCGGCTGTAATTGTTACAGTCCCAGATCACCAAGCCTTTCTTTCATAGCACTGCTGGGTGGGTTGGAACCACCACTCTCTCTGTTAGTAACCAAGTACAAAGTGTAGTATACATATTTGGCAAAAATGAGAAAGGAGGAAACAGGAGACCAAGCAGTTGCATAGATGGGTACCACAGAGGTGGGGTAGGGGCACCTACTTTGGCTGTGGCGTGAGCCCGGATCTCAGCACTGCCCGTGATGTCCAGCGTGTCATAGAGCTGCTCATACACCTGGGAGAGAACGCAATGACATCAAGGTACTGCCTCCTCCCTTAGACCCAGGAGTCCGGTTCCCAGCTACTTACTCTCTGACCCAGGGGTCAGAAGCCAAGTCTTCGCCTCCCTCAGAGTCAAGAGTTCCGGCCCCCCAGAACCTCTCTTTCCTCCAACTCAGGGATCCGCCCGCCCCCGCCACTCGGAGCCTCAACAAACTACAATTCCCAAAAAGCCCCGGGGCAGAAGCAAAGGCCACCAAGGCAGACTGCCCCGGTCACTGCTGGGAGGCGTAGTCCCCGGGCTCAGGGTGGCGCTCACCTCCCGGATGGCAGAGCAGAAGCGGCTCTGCAGGACTCGCTGGAGCGCCTGCAGCTTCTGCGGGGGCAGCTCCCCGCTGCGCTGGAGCCTCTCAAGGAGCTCCACGGCCCGGGACACATCTGTGCAGCGGGGGTGTCGAGCCATGAGCCATGGAGACGCAGAGGACCACAGAGAGATGCAGCGAAAGGCATGAGAGACGCGCAGTCACACCCCGTGCAGGATGGCCGAGAGACAGGCGGGCACCCTGTAGTCTCGGGTGGCCACCTAGAGACTTTGTCTCCAGCATCCTCCAAACACAAGCAGAGTGGCAACAGGCGCCCCCTCGGCGGTCCACTCGCCCACGGACCCTGCTAACCCCACCCTGGTGCCCCGCCCACCCCCGCAGGGCTCGCCAGCCCACTTGCCCAGGCCTCCCCGGGTAAGCACTCAAGGACACAGGCCCCAGGTGCGTGGCCCCCCTGGCGCGCGCTTACCCCGCTCCAGCCCCAGCGGCTCCACGAGCGCAGCCATGTCGGCACCGCAGCTGCAAGCCTCCCGCTGCCCCGGCGCCGGCGAGGGGGCGGGGACTCGCGAAGCCACTCCTCTCCCCACGGAGGCACCGGGTCGCAGCAGCTGCTGTCGCGACCTGCCTGTAACCTTTTCCATTGCTGCCTGGGTCTGTCTGTCCTTCCAACCATATCTGTCTGCTCCCTCTCTATCTCTGTCTTTCCCCCACATTCATTTAGCAAACGCATTAAAACATCTTCTGAGTCCAGGGAGTGGGTGGACTGGATGGTGTACGAGGACCAGCCTGCTGCCCTTCCCTCGCGCAGCTTAGAATCTTGAGGTACACAACCAACAACTGTCTGTGGTAGGAAGTGGTATCTAGCCGTGGTTGTTGTTGGGTGCCATGGAATCAACTGATTCTGACTCATAGCGTCCCCATGTCACAGAACAGACCTGCCGTGTAGGGTTTCCTAGTTTGTAATCTTTACAGAAACAGATCCCGGAGCCTTTCTTCGGCGGTGCCGCTGGGTGGATTGGAACCGCAGACCTATCAGTTAGAAGCTGAAAGGCTTATACCATCTAGAGTAACGAAGGACAAGGGCAGGGAGCCTTGGGAGGTAAGCTGCACCAGGAGTGGGATGTGAGTCACCTTCCAGACAGAAAGAACAGCCAGTGTCAAGCCCTTGAGTTTGAAGACCAGAAAGTGCAGCCCAGTGGCTGACCAAGCTAAGAGTGCAGAGGAGTTAGAATGATTTACACATAGGCTTCTTGTTGTTAAGTGCCTTTGAGTCAGTTCCAACTCATAGCAACTCATAGGGTTTCTGAGGAGCAGCTGGTGTTGTGCATGGCCTGTGTGTTGACATCTGCATGTGCTACTGAGGACGGGTAAAACGTGGTGTCTCCATTTGCTGTTTAAACGACTGTGGCCACCAAGTGGAGGATGGAATGGATGGGAGCAGGGATGGAAGTGGAGGGACCAGTGAGAGATTCCATAATGTGCACTTGGGCAGAGGCATGTTGTTGTTAAGTGCCTTCAAGTCGAGTCCAACTCATAACAACCCTGTACAGGGTTTCCGAGGAGCAGCTGTAGAGGCATAGAGCTGAACAAGTGGACAGATTTGGAAAATACCAGGACAAGTCTTGGTGACTTGTCAGAACCGACAACCGCATTTAACAAGCTCTGGTGGCATAGTAAGTTATGAGTTGGGCTGCTAACTGCATGCAGTTCAAATCCACCAGCTGCTCCGCAGAAGATGAGGCCTTCTGCTCCTGTAAAGATTTACAGCCTAGGAAACCCTCTATACGGCCATTCTAAATCGGAATCAACTGAAGGCAGTGTGTGTGTGTGTGGGGGGGGGGGTGTTTGGTGTCATTGAGGAAACTCTGGTACCACAGTGGTTAGGCTCGCAGCTGCTAACCAAAAGTCAGAATTGACTTGATGGCAGCGGGAGTATGGTACCCCAGCGGAGCCATCTGACCCGGAGGCAGTTAAGAGGATTTGGGCACAGGTGGTAAGTAACTCTACAGGGCTGGATGAGCATGCCCAGAGCAAAAGAATATAGAATGAAGAGGACCTGGGACTAAGCCCCCCAAATTCTCAACACTTAAAAGGCAAGAAAAGGGCAAAAGGATGTCCAGAAAGGTAAAAGAAAAAAACAGCAGATGAGGAAAAACATGAGTTTTTTAAAAAAGGAGGAGTCGTCAGTGGTGTTAAATATTAGTGAAGTATTCCCTGGGTGTAAACACATAGTCTTTAGTCATCTTAGCAAGAATACGAAGGTAAGTCAAAAAGCATTGCTTACTGGGGGCCCAGTTCATCCATGCACTGGTTTATTCCAAACAAGACACATTTACACATGTCTCTGCCATCAATGGATGACTGCAGAACTCTCCCAGGAATATACTTGTTTCAATCTCGTTGTTGTGAAGTGCCGTTGAGTCGATTCCAACCCATAGCGACCCTCTATAGGGATTCCAAGGAGCAGCTGGTGAGCTTGAACCACCGACCTTGCAGTTCAAACGACTTTGCAGTCTGGTGCATTAGCCCACAGCGCCACACAAAGTCCAAAGAAAGCAGTGACTTCAAACAGTGTTGGTTGGCTGGACCAGTTCAATTCAAGACAGAGAAGTCAGCTCAAAAAGTAAGGTAGGGTGACTGTATTTGGGAATCCCAATGGGATTATCTTGATAGATTTCCCCAAAGGGAACAGGACAATCACAGGGGTTTATTCGGAAGTTTTAAGAACATTGAAACCTGCACTAGTGAAAAAATGGCTAGGAAAGTTGTACCTAGGACTTTTTCCCAGGGTAGCAAGTGCTGTCCTACAAGGATTTCATTGGGAAACCTTGTCCACGCTACAACCCTGATTTAGCCCCGTCAGACTTTTCGTTCCCCAAACCCAAAGAATATTGAAAACTAACATGATTTGATCCCTCAGAGGTACCAATAGTGCCATTTCAACATGACATACATTGAAGAGTACAGAATTCTTTGGGAAAGGTTTAGCGAGATGCAAACCCCTTTAGAAGTCTATGCATGGGTCTAGGATATATTGAGAAATACTAAATTCATAGTTTATTTTTGTTTAATGAAGGGTTCCTATGATTTTTATAGCAATATTTTTTGACTCACCATAATGTTTTGGATGGGGAGGAGACAAAACAAAATTGGGGGGAAAAATTGAGGTAGGAGATATAAACAGGGCTTTTGAAACGGTTAGCTCTGTTGTCCCACCATCTTCCGGTTTCACTGGAATGGGGATATGGAGTACAGAGGACTGCAGGAAGCTTGTCTCTCCTCTCCCTCAGTGTTTCTTTCCCTTCTGCTGTTTTTTGTTTGTTACTTTTTTCTTTTTTATTGTGAATTGAGTGGAGGCTTACGGAGTACATCCTATACTTTGCTTCATTACAATGATTGCAATTCCTTCCAGGTACCATTTACCTGTATTCACGTTAACTCCTGTACTCTTCTTCCCTGTGTCTCTCGTTACCTTCATCTTTCCTCTGCCAACCTCCCTCTTGTTATATTTTGCCTGCTCTATCATCCATGTTAACATGTGTCTAACATAGTGGTTATGAGTTGGGCTGCTAACCTCAAGGTCAGCTGTTCAAAACTACCAGCTGTTCTGCAGGAGAAAGATGAGGCTTTCTTCTCCCATAAAGATTTACAGTCTCAGAAACCCTATACAGGGTTGCTATGAGTCAGAACCAACTCCACAGCACATAACCGCCACCACCAACCCTCTAGCCCAGGAGTCCTGGTGTGGTGTTGCAGGATAATGCACTAGACCGCAAGGTCAGTTAGAGCCACAAGGTCAGTGGTTCCAACCCACCAGCCATTCCTCAGAAACCTTATATAGGGTCACTATGAGTCAGAACTGACTCTACAGCACTTAAAAACAGGACCACCCTCTAGCCCATGAATAATTTTCTCACCCTCCCTCTCCGTAACCATCATAGATTCTTTTATCAAGAAAATCTCTTCTTTCTACATTGGTCTCAACACTATTTGTGTTTTTGTGATTCACTAATGTCACTCAGCATAATGTCCTCCAGGTTCAACCATGTTGTAAGGGGTTTTACAGATTCATCATTATTCTTCAGTGTTTTGTAGAATTTCATTGTGTGTATGTACCAAAGATCCTTTAAGCATTCTTCTGTTGATGGACATTTAGGCTGTCTCCATCTTTTTGATGTGTCTTCTTGTAGACAGGATATTGAAGGATCCTGTTTTCTTATCCATTCTGCTCTGTCTCCTGACTGCTGCATCTAATCCACTTACATTCAGTGTAATTATCAATAGGTGTGAATTGATTTGCTGTCATTTTGTTTGTTTTTTTTTTGTGGTCTTTGTGATGATTTCTTTATTCCACGTAATTTTCTGCCAAGTTCATTTTGCTTGTGGGTTTTCTGTTGTGTTAGTGTTTACTAAATCTTTCTGGTTTTGTTCTTTTATTTTCATGTGCAGTCGTATTAATTTTCAGGGTAAATTACAGGTTACCCTATAATTTATTAATTTTTTTCCCTATTTAAAAGTCTGTTTTATCTTGAAATCTACTTGACTTCCTTGCCATTTAAAAGTTCTATGTCTACACTATTACTTCTTTTGTGTTGTAGTTGACTTCATTACAAATTGGTATCTCTGGTTTTCTAGTTTCAGTCTTGGAGATTTGTTTTACTTAAATCCTGGGTTGAGATGTCGATGGTGTTGTCATATATGGTAACCTTAGGTTGTTCTCTGCTATTCTTGGTTCTCAGTCCAAAGAACACCCTTTGGCATTTTTTGTATAGTTGGTTTTGTTGTTGTTGGGTACCGTCAAGTTGGTTCCAACCCATAGCAACCCTTATGTACAACAGAATGAAATATCTGTTTCATCCTGTGCCATCCTCATAATTGCTGCTACGATTGAGTCCATTGTTGCTGCCACTATGCCATTTCATCTTATTGGTGGGGTCTTCCTCTTTTTCACTGACCCTCCACTTTATCAAGCATGATGTCCTTCACCAGGGACTGGTCCCTCCTGATAAAATGTTTGAAGTATGAGAGACGAAGTATAGCCATCTTGAGGCATTCTGGCTGTACTTCTTCCAACACAGATTTGTTTGTCTTCTGGCATTCCATGGTACCTTTAAAATTCTTCAGCACCATAAATCAAATGCTTCAATTCTTCTAGGGTTTTCCTTATTCATTGTCCAACTTTCACATGCATATGAGACGACTGAAAATACCAGGGCTTGGGTCAGGCATACCTTAGTCTTCAAACTAACATCTTTGCTCTTGAACACTTTTAAGAGGTCTTGAGCAGTAGATTTATCTAATGCAGTATGTTGTTTGATTTCTTGATTGCTGATTCCATGAGTGTTGATGGTGATTTCAAACAAATGAAGTCTTTGAACAACTTCAGTCTTTTCTCCATTTATCATGATGGTATTTATTGTATATACTCCAGTGGTGAGGAGTTTTGTTTACATTGAGGTGCAACCCATATAGAAGGCTGTGGTCTTTGATCTTCATCAGTATTTTAAGTCCTCTTCATTTTCAGCAAGCAAGATTGTATTATC